CAGTATGTTGCCCGTTATATTTTAGGTCCTGACCCTATATTGAACTGTTTTCTTTCCTGAAGGGTCATTCTAATAATGTAGACTTTCCTAGGGAAACATGGCCTTCTTACCACCTTTATCCTCTTGACATAATTCCTTTACCTCCACTGAGCGTTTAATCTCCATGGTAATGCCATTTCCTGCCAATCTCATGATCCTCTCAGGTCTCAGTGGGGGTCAGAGTCGCATGCATGAACCGGTCATCATGCACAAGACAAGAGTTCACCAGGAAAGAACCAAATGGTGTCAAAAGCGTGGTCACGTACCTCATCATGAAGCTTTTTGAGGAAAAGGATCTCCTCCTGTAGGGACTCCACCTTTCGCTCCAAGTCTAGACGAGCCAGGGAAGCATTATCGACATCCTGCAATCACAGAATGCATAAGACCTCAATAAAATGCAGTTTAAGTCTGCAGCAATTTTGAGGTCATGGCTTGAACCTGTTAGATACCCTCACCTTGCCTTAAATGAATGTGCTATGAAAAAACTGTTCTGTGGGGATCTTATTCACAAAAATGTGCTTTCAAAGAATTATCCACTGAAAATTTCTTTAGAGAATCAAAAAAAGTTCGTCTATTATTAAAAGTGGACACCTTTATTTTTAAAAAGTGGCTCTCCACAGGTTATTTGTTAAAGATAATGGTTGCACACAGAATGCTAAACACTCAAAGTAACCTTTGAATGCATACGTGGTTCTTTGCATGGTTAACAGTTCTTCTCCATGACTGAAAAAACTGTCGAATGAGATTCCTTGAATGTTCACGGTTCTACATATAATTACTGCCTTTACTAAAGAACCCTTGAAGAAAGAAAAAAGAAAAAGAAAAAACAAACAAACAGTAAGGGTGTACACTTTTAAAAGATGGTTCCTCAAGCATCCATTAGTCAAAGATAATGGTTGCATATAGAACCACAAACACTCAAAGAACCATGTGAATGCATAAAAGGCTCTTTGCATTGTTAAATGGTTCTTTTCTGCAATGTAAAAAAAGTGTTGTGGTTCTTTAAAGAACATTCACAATGGTTCTATATAGCATTAAAAAGGATTCTGCAAAACTTTTTTACTAACATAGTAGAGGAATTTTCTAAATGTAACACTGGTTTATGCTACTTTTCCATAAAAAAATAAATAATAATAATAATAATAATAATAATAATAAAATAAAAGATTAGAATAGTTTCTCGAGTTTTTGCCAAGTAGAGTACTGAATGAGCCATATAGCACGAGCCTGTTGGCATCTGGTGGAGAGTCCGTTTTCATATGTCTATTAGGAAACCTACAGGTGGCCATGGCATATACAATTGAACACACATCCCCTTATTGTGTTCTTCCCTTCCAATGTCTGAAGTCACCAGTTTCCCACAGCTAAGAGTAGTACCACCCACTTAGACAACAGCTTGCTTTGTCATCTACATGCAGGCCCCCTCCCCTCATCAGAGCAGAAACAATGCCAGAGCAGAATCAGCTTTTCTGCCATAAGTTCCAAGGACAAAGCTGCTCATTGACCAGTGTTTCTAACCCTGACACTGGACCACAGTATCACAGCTTGCAAAGCTGGGTGGCGCTGTACACCAGCCCTAGCACTCAGAAAACACTGCTGATCACACCCTGCAGAACAGAGTGGTTTCAGCATGCTGCTGAAATGCCTTACAAAGCACTTTTCACTGGTATAATAAACTGCATGTAAAGTGGCACTCTGAGGAAGAAGAGGGATAAAAAGTCAAAAATGTATTTGCTGTGGTGGTTTTAATTTGTATGAGGTGGAAACATACCTGTCTGAAGCTCTGGAGGTTATTTTCAGCATCTTCCCTTTGAATGATCTCTTCTTGAAGTCTGCAAGCGACACAGGAGGATTAGAGCAGTGACACACCCACTCTAACAGTACTGATTCTACAGATAACTATACATAGAGTCAGTGCTACATTTAAGTCAGAGACAAGAATATGGCTTATTTTGCTCACAGCATAAAAATTCAACATGTTTGACCACAGCATGCATTCTTAACTTAATTAATCATCACTGATCCCTGTGCAGTCGTACACAAAAGTTTGAGCACCCCTCAAATTACAGGTTTTGCTGATTTTCTAAATAAAAACAAAGTTAAACACATCCTCTACAGAAAACAGTTAATGCACAATTACTTTTTTTACAGAATTGAAATTTGTTTTACTATTTTACATTGCATTTTTTCCAATATGATAAAATCAGTAAATAAATAGAAACTGTACACCAACATTTTCTATATTTATTTGTTCTCCGTGTTAACTTAAAACAAAACAAAACCCACACACACACACACACACACACACACACACACACACACACACACACACACCAAAATGCATGGGGTATTATTTTTGCATGACTCTATATAGAACAAAAGAACTTATAAATAACAGTGGGGTGTCAAATAGTGCTCATTTCTCAATACTGCATTTAAAAACAACTTGAAAAGAGGTCTACTGTAACAGCGATGGATTAGGGTGTTTAAGAGGCTGCAAGCTGCACCAAAAATAGTTTATAAAAAGTAATCCTTGAGCTAATAGGCTATGGTGGACAACTGCATGGAGTGACCACGATACTGGAATGAGTGAATGAATGAATGAGTGAGTGAATGTTCTTCAAAATAGTAAAGTTTTTCCTATCCATGTACTCATTTCTTTCAGGAAGAAGCTTGTGCCTACTTCTCTCTGAGGCGCTGAAGGTCCTCTCCCAGGTTGTCTCTGTCCACCTCCACTCTGGCCTTGTCTGTGGTCAGCTGGTCCACTTGCCGACGCAGTTCTCTCATCTCCTCCTCGTACAGATCTCCCACGCGGGACGTTCCTTTGCCCCTCAGCTGCTCCAGCTCGCCGATCAGGCTCTTGTTCTGCTGCTCCAGAAATCGCACCTTCTCTATGTAGCTGGCAAAGCGGTCGTTCAGGTGCTGCATCTCGGCCTTCTCGTTGGTGCGGTTGGCCTTGAACTCTGTGTTGATGGCGTCGGACAGGGCGAAGTCCAGCGTGTCCGAGGAGAGCCGAGGCCATGGCGCGCTGCGCAGCCTGCTGCTCCTGCTAGAGGAGATGGAGATGGAGGGAGGCGCGGAGGAGGCGCTGTAGCTCATACGGGATGAGCGCACGGGGCTGGAGGAGTAGCGCGCGCTGGAGAAAGTGGAGCGAGCCACGCTTTGGCGCTCCCCGCCGAACATCCTGGTGTAGGAGGAGGACTGGCGGGTGGAGGCTCTGGAAGCCATTTTGAAGGTAGTCCTGCTGGTTCTGGGGAGTTTCACCCTCAGCGGTTTTCTGAAGAAGTGAACGAGTGAGCGTTTCCCCAGCAGAGCTGATCCGCGGGTCTGGGGCAGCTTTTATACCCCCACCCCACCCCCTGCGCCCCGTGCTAATGACGGCGCGCAGAGGGGCGGAGAGAGCAGCACTTTACTGTGACTATTAAAATTATTATTACTGCATTACTATTTTTCTATTGAATATAAAGGAGAAATTGCTTCTTCATTTGATATATTTTTGTTGTAGCTGTTTTAAATTAGCCACAGCTCGTGCTTCTTGAATACTGTGAAAAACACTCTCAACTGGCATATGTGAAGGAGACTAATTGATTGATTGATTGGTTGATCGACTTTTTTCGTTCTGTTCCCCTCCCTTCGTGGGGAGTATTTCACAAAGGATTTCCCAGTAAGTTGGATAACTTACGAGAAAAACTGAGGATTGTCCAGTAGGAATGTTCCTTAGCTCTTCTACCTGACAGGCTTGTTTTTTGCAAATAGCTGTAATGCGCAATAGGCCCTTTTCACAAGAAACGGAAGTGCGTAAACGCTGGGTAAAACAAGTTCCGCTATTGCCTTGCGGACAGTTATTAACCTTAGAAATACAGGCGTTCGTATCACTTCAGCTCAACACAGAAAGGTATCTATCTTTATCTTTGTCATAGTTGCCAAAATTCGAGGATGTGTCCAGAATTGTTGGAGAGCCAAACACACAACAATGTGGGAGTCCAAACTAATGACAGCATATAAATGCTTCTTTAAAAAAACGTATTCACAGCTGCAGAGTACAAACGTCAGCTAACGTCCACAAAGTGATAAATCGATGAATTTGTGAAAATAACTATAACCAAAACACAGATAAGCAATGCTAGCTGAAGATGCCGAAACAGCTTGCTAACAATAAACTAGTTGGCAAAAAGCTACACACACATATGCCGGAAGGGGGCGCGCCGGGTCTCTGAAGCGCTAGAGGGCGCTCCCGACTGAGTGCAAAATGAATGGGTTAATGTGGAGCATTTAAGTAATATCATAGTTTATAAGTGCTTTAACATTTTTAAGATAAAAGAATGCATTTATATTCTGAACACAGAACAGCCTCAAACATTTTAACACCAATGTTATATTTTTAAATGCTTTTGAACTCCAATCAGCCAATCAGCATTCAGTAACGGTAATGCTAGCATTGTACTGCCCAGAGTCTGGTACTGCCAAAAACCCGTTTGCTGTGGTCATGTTCAGCAGCGCCACTGTAAATGTTTTACACAAACGCCGGCTCCATTAAACAAACATCTACTCTCCGCTGAGGACTCGCCCTCTCAGATGTCGACAGCTGTGGAGGGAGAAAATGAAAACTGTTTCTCTGAAAGTGGCTGTAGCTGCAACACTGAAGCACAAAGTTAACGTTAGTCAGCAGCAGTGAAATACTGACAAAAGGGATATTTTCCTCTGTATGACAAAGTTTATTCCTTTGATAATTGCACATACTCATTTTCCCTCGATTCATCAGCAGCTGACAAACCACTGAAACTGAGTTAAGGTTGTTTTTGCTTTAAAATGAACACTTAAATGAGCTGTACACGCTCTACTCGTCATCGTTGTTTTAGCGTTACCCTGCAGTGACTACTTCCAACTGAAAAGTGCAGAAATGTGAAAAGGCCTCTCAGATCTGACGGTCTGAAAGGGCGGAACCTTCATACAGGAGCCGTTGTTTCCAGGGGACCCGTACCGCTAGCATGCTTTAGCCAACTGTGCGGTAAACATGGGGAAACTGCGGGTTTTAGAGCTCTACAGCGGCATTGGAGGAATGCATTATGCACTCACAGGTAGCTTTTTTATATCTGCGGATTTGATATACTTACACGTGTGTAAATTAGTTAAGCAGCCGGCATCCGTTTGTCTCCGTTTATATGTGGTTTAATATCTCCGCATTTGTTGAAATAAACTGACTGACAGGCAAGCGAGCTAGTTAAATCTTCCTCTCTCTCCCTGTGTGTGTGTGTGTGTGTGTGTGTGTGTGTGTGTGTGTGTGTGTGTGTGTGTGTGTGTGTGTGTGTCTATGTCTATGTCTATGTCTGTGTCTGTGTCTGTCTGTCTGTCTGCCTGTCTGTCTGTCTGTCTGTCTGTCTGTCTCTGGGTCTGTCCACTTACTTGGTCTCAACGGGTGTCTCTGTTCTCTTGAAAACGAATCGTGTCAGTCATTAATCCGGGTCACTAGCTACGTTGTTACCTTGTTTGGTGTACACAAACTGGCCATTTTGTTAGGTCCATGTCGGTCATATAGGTGCACTCTGTTGTTCTACAATTATAGATTGTAGTCCATCTGGTTCTCTGCATAGTTTGTTACCCCTTTTTACCCTGTTCATCAGTGGCCATGACCACTGCAGTAAGACTGACATGCTTTGTATCAGAAACAGCAGTGCTGTTGGAGCTTTTAAACAATGTGTTTGCTTACTGTCCACTAGATAGATGTGGTTGGTATAGCTTGTGTAGTGGGTAAGACTTCTGTCTTCTACACTGTAGACTGGGGTTCAGTCCCCACCTGGGTAAGCACCCTACACTACACTAATAAGAGTCCTTGAGCAAGACAATTTGTGTAAAGTGATAAAATTGTAAGTCGCTCTGGATAAGAACATCTGATAAAATGCTGTAAATGTAAATGTAGATACAACTACATTGCTGGTCCACCTTGAGTTGGACCACGCTGAGAGATGATGGGCTTAACAAATTAATCAGAGAAATAGATGGACTACAATCTATAACTGTAACACTACATGGTGCATCTATATGGTAAGGTAATGCTATGTTATGGTAAGGATACAGTGTAGATATAAAGCAAGTGGACCTAATAAAGTTGCCGATAAGTGTATGCTATCCTATTCTTGTCTTACATGCTATCCTTACCTGTGCCCCACCTTTCAATGATTGAATGATAAAGTCTGTAGCATGTGCTGTACATTACGACAGACTGCAGGTTTCCTCTATGTAAATGATACTAGGTATTAAGGTACTGGATAATATTTGAAAGTTTCACAGGTTATTGATATAACTTACCTTTTTTTTCCTCTTTAGAGAGCTCAGTGCATGCTGAAGTGGTAGCTGCAGTGGATGTGAACACGACAGCCAATGAAATCTATAAACACAACTTCCCACATACTCTACTGCTACCTAAGACCATCGAAGTGAGCATCAGCTGACTAACTGTGTTTTTGGTTTCCAGATTACCAGGCGATCCTAGATCCTAGTCAGTATTACAGCTAAGCCTAATATTACAGCATTGTGCCTACTCTTAGGGATGCATGATGAAATTGGAGACTGTATTAACAGGTATTTTCTTGGAGAAATTGGCATCAGACAGATGTTTAGAATTGACTATTTTAAACTGAAATTTGATATTTATTGTATTCTAGAAGAGCAAAGTGTTTAGGTGACGAATGTGTGCTTTTAGGTCATTTTTTCTGTATATTTAACCCTCTACAAATGACAGTTCTCTGTAATGTTCATCCTGGTGAATCTATTCTCAATTTCTACATTTTATAAATTCTTATGTGTTGGCATTGGCCCACATTTCTTATCGGTGCATCCTGCTGTGTCGTAAGTGTTTTGCAGTTTGCTGAATTTAGGTGAACCACAGTTATAATGGGAGCTGTATCTGAGAGTTGTGCATCACTAGAGACAGATTTTGGTGATCATTCCCTCAGACCAGATCAGTCTAGATTCTTACTTGGTTCTAGTAGATTATTGTAATCATTTCAGTGATCTGGGTTTGACTGTAATGTATAAACCACTAGACCAAAAACGTAATGCTATAAATATAAATATAGTTTTGTTAATTTTATAATCGAACATCTGAATGGACTTGAAGGAATGTGCTTTTTGGCACTGTTATGCTGCTATCCCTGTCGCCACTAGGGGCACGCAGTGGTCGGCCTGCGTCCTCACATGGACTAAGATGAATGAAAGGGTTTTCTTTGGAGCAAAGTCTCAGTTCCCACTCCATAAAAGAGATTTGTGTAAAATACTTGTAAGAATGTAATAAAATTATAGATTATCATAAGACTAAAAATAACAGTAAGCATAAGATCATTGAACGCTGTTTCATGGAAGTGTGCATTTGTAATAAGGCCCCTTTACACAGTCAGCAAGTCAGCAAGTCCAAATATAATTTATAAGTTATACTCAAATCTTTATACACTAATATCTCATAAAATTTGTTATATCCTTAGCAGATACCATTTTTTGAAGAAAATGTCTGGTTGATGAAATCATAAAATCCATTTTTATAAAAAGAAAAGCCAAAGCTTAAAGGAGTATGCTGAAAACAGTACATTAATCTGCATAGTCAATAAAAGTGCTCTGTTGGCAGCCAGTTAGGCCTCATCCCAGTGAATAAAAGGCCAAAACCTTGACAAAAGTCCTTTTTATTTGTTGAATTGTATTTCATTTTGGAAAATTATGCAATGAAACAGCTTTCCTCTTGCAAGATCTACATTATTTAACTCCTTAAGCTGTTGGCAGATTAACAATTCAGTTATTGATCTTAGCAGTAGTTATTTAGAATGATTTGATTTGATTATTTGGTGTATTTTACAGTATTTGGAAGCTACTGTTAAGTTAATGTTATGTAAATGTAAGAGTTTGAAATATCTTCCTGCCCTTTGCAGTTTAAGTTGTTAATTCATATCTATCCACACTTCAACCCATGACTGATGATTAGAGGAATATTTTAAGTGAAAGAGTAACTCGCTGGATTTAGTGTTGGGTAAAGGTTGTGTGCACCGTCAGCAGGGGTAATGATGCACCAGCTGCTGGCCTCATTGTCTGGAGTGTGTTTCAGTAACATGACAGTAAAATGTGGCCCAAGCACGGTGTGTTTTTTCATTAGAAGATGTACATAACTTGAATCTTAGAAGAGCAGAAATCCAAGATTTTCCCTGAACATTTCTTCATTTTTTCCACTGGCTTGAAATTGGTTTACAATTTGTAGGGTAATAAGAAAATGCCCATTAAGCCTATTGGTTTCATCACTGCATGACTGTATGGACTCAAGATACAGGTTCCTCAGTATTTTACTTTTTTTTGACAAAATTTGCAAACCATGAGAGTCCTATGTAGTCAAGAGTGGCAAGCTTTTGTACAATGCATGTGAAATATAGCTTTTTTGATTATAACTAATGCTTTTGTTGTGTTTCTGTTAGGGAATGACATTAAATGATTTCAATAAACTGGATTTTGATATGATTTTGATGAGCCCTCCTTGTCAGCCATTTACTAGGTAAACAGAAATGTGTATCACCTTTCCATTTCTCACTAATGACATTAGAAATGAGAAATAATGTATTATTTATTTTTAGTTTTGTATTCGTTTACGTGTGTTTTCCCTGCAGGATTGGGTTACAGGGTGATGTTTCTGACCCCAGAACAAAAAGCTTTCTCTATATATTGGACCTACTGCCAAGGTCAGAACGACAATGCTTTATGTCTCCATATATACGGCTTCTATGTGTGTGTTTTTTTTTTTTTTATGTCTTCAGTTCATTATTGCAGGGGGAAAACTTCAGTCATATTTCCTGCCTGTTGACTTTTCTAAATTATTGTTTTATAAATTATTGTCTTATTAATTTGTGTATAATACATTTTTAGCACATACTTTCTCCTAGCACTGCTTTAAGGCATGTTTTTTAGAGTTATTTTTTGAACTGCAGCCAGACATTCTTATAAGGTCATTTTATGAAAGAATGTGTCACTCTGCTGTATCTGTAGACTGAGCAAGCTGCCACGCTTCATTCTGCTGGAGAATGTGAAAGGATTCGAAACATCTTCTGCAAGGTAATATGGGAGATGGGGCAATTCCTCTGCTCAGGAGTTTACTGTGGTTGCATGGCTAGCAGTTTGTTCTCTCCCTGTATTTGTCACTGTGTGCACATAAGTGCCTATGCCTTAAGTGTACCTCTGGAAATTTTATTTTTTGAAAAGTGAAGGGTGGGCTTGCACTGCATCCAAAATAAACTGAAATTCACTGTGCAGATTTGTGATCTGGCCTTTTGTCTTTTCCACAGAGATTCTTTGATAAAAACTTTGAAGGAATGTGAATACAGTTTTCAGGAATTCATGATTTCACCCACTTGTGTAAGCGTTCTTTTCTTTGTTATGCTTCATTCAAATGGTTAACACTTTCAGTTCACCATGAGAACTGAGATTTAAGATTTAAATAATAAGGTCCAGATAATCTGAAATGTTTAAATATTTTAGCAAATTAGACATTATTAATTCATTATGGTGATTTATGCCTATTCAGAACAGCCTGTTTGTTTCAAATGACAGTGATTTTTGTTTTTGCTGGATTTTTTTTGCTTTCGTCAATGCATGCAGGATATAATTCTATAAAGAGTGGGTTGCTGTATTCTTCTATCAGTTTTAACAAATTACTTCACTAATTTTTATGTTATTACTCTTTTTCACAGCTAGGAATACCAAATTCAAGGCTGCGTTATTTCCTTGTTGCCAAGGCACCTCCAGGTTCTTTATCTTTTCAGACAACTTCAGAGGTAAATACATCTGTTCACTCTGAAAATTGCATAATACTGTATTTCTAATACATGGATTTAGCATTTATACCATCTAATTATTTTTGCCATATAAATTATGTGATAATCTTTGTACTTTGTTTCACAGATTCTACAGGGCTTTCCAAAGGCAGCTTCTAGTGATGGCACAGACAGTCCCATAATCCCAGATAGCCACTGTAGTGCCCTCAGTAGTAAAACCAGGGATAACAAGGATGTCATCTATAAGCTTGAGACAGCTCAGGACCTGGAGAGGAAGAAAAGTCAAAACAGTAAGGAGTCAGTGAGGAAACTGCAGGACTTCCTGGAAGAGGAGGGACAGAGAATTGACATGGACCATTATCTGCTGTCCTCAAAAACCCTGCTCAGATATGCCCTGCTCATGGACATAGTCAACCCAAACTGCAGGAGATCAGTCTGCTTTACTAAAGGGTGAGCCATCTGAAAGATGTGTTACTACTTCAAAAAAAAACAATCCTATGATCTTAAAAAATGTAAGTTATTTATTAGCCCGTGTCTGAGGCCTCTAACTGTATCTACTACCCAGTATACTAAATAATGAATTTGTTCCCCTTCAGATATGGGCACTATGTGGAGGGAACTGGTTCAGTTCTGCAGTCTTGTACAGATGTAGAACTGGAGAGTGTCTTTAAGTCACTAGAGGTGCTATCTGAAGAAGAGAAGCTAAAGCAGCTATCCCAACTGAAGCTCAGATACTTCACACCCAGAGAGATAGCTAACCTTATGGGCTTCCCCTCACACTTCAGTAAGCAAGTCACCTTACTTATAGATTAAAGGGTGCATGGATGTGAATGGTCAGACTATGTTTAAATTATGTGAATCCACGCTGGTTACTTTCCATGATAATGAAATCTTTGCTTCATTTTGGGTCATTTGAGTGTCTTAAACTCTAATGCATTGTGTTATTTTATCCAGTGAACTAAAGGGTTCTCAGTTGTTATCTGAGGTAGCAGAAGCACACAAATCCCTTACTTAAGTACTAGTAATCTAGTAAGAAAATTCTCAAGTGAAAATTGAAGTTTCTAATTATTTTTTTTTAAACAGGTTATTTTTTTTGTATTTTTGAGTGTACATAAAGGTTTATACTAGAACTGCATGCATCATCCACAAAAATCCTTTTTTCTTGAGCACCCAAACACATTTATATGTTTGACTTCCTTTACAAGAATTTGAGATGGACATTGTTGGAATCTCTACTAAGGAAAAGCAGAAGATTTTTATTTTAGCAGTCAATACTGGACATTAGATCAAATCATTTCTATTAAGTACATCAAGCTATAGGCTATTCCTAACAGCCTTGCAGTCATCACTCTACATATTCCAACAATCCCACCCTGACCCAAAACAATAGCAACCAATCAGAAAGCTGGATTCACACAAACACAGCCAGCACGGCAGCATCTTCACTATAAAGCATGTGTCCGCTCAGCACAGATACAACATCTGTCCAGAGAAGACGACTAAACTAAGTTAAAATCAGACAACTGAGACTTATACAAAGTTAAACGAAGAAAGTTAAACCAACAAAGTTAAACCTAAAACCTAATAATTACTGAAGCCAGAAACGCAGATTACTGACACAATGATTAGACCCAATTAAGATGACAACCAACACAGCAATCTGTAAAAAAAACAAAACTTAATCGTTCTAGGCTAAAGTATTTTGCCACAGCGGGTATGTAACATGCTTATTGTCTGTTTATATCTTACCTGTAATGACTTCATGCACTGAAGTCCATACAGGTGTCTGAACATACCTACTACATCACTTAAGGTGGAATGGAAAATGAAGCTAGCTTCATCTAGTCACTAAACCTGGGCTGTACCAGTTGAGACGGTGGCCACTGGTTTAACCCCTAATTTACTACAGATATACATTTGGATGTAACATTTGCAGTTTGTTTAGTTCTAGTGCTGTGAGTTTATTCATTAACTCACAGTAACCGGCCCAAAACACTGCCAGCCCACCAGGAATTCTCCCAACTCTCTCAATTTCCCACTCCAGGTTTGAGTGAGGCCATGGATGCAGTTTATTTCAGACGCATCGCCTCCAGTAAAGTCCAGATACCTAAACAAATTACTTAAGTACAGTAACAAAGCTTGTTATGTCTTCTGTGTCCAGAAGTTGTTATGTCTTCTATGTCCAGAAGTTTAAAATGAACTGAAATTCCTCTTTAAAGTTGTTGTTTAATTAACTGAAGTGTGGAGAATTTAAACAGTAACCTTCCTTCTGTTAGACTTCCTCCTGTTACAAACTGTTCCATTATGTATGTATGTATGTATGTATGTATTTATTTTGTATGTGTTAACTACACCTAATTTAATTAAGATGAATTGTGCAATCAAGAAGAACATGTCTTTGTTGACTCACATACTTTAAATGTACTTAAAAGTTTCTGAAACCCTATTAATTGATGCATATTTTACATTTTGTCTGTTAATTTTCTACTTTATTTTCTGTTTCAGCTTTTCCACTGAATATCTCGATTAAGCAGCAGTACCGGGTTCTGGGAAACAGTCTAAATGTTCATGTAGTTGCCAAGCTCATCAGTCTTATGGTGTCGTGACCAACAGATATGCTTTGTTGCAGTTCATAGGGTGAGAGATGAAAGGCCGTTGCAGGTTGCACTTGAGTTGTCTGGAGTAGAAAATCAACTTTTGTTTTATGTGAATCAAACTTGTAAACCTTTAAATAAAGTGGTGTTTTTTTATATTGTGTTTTGTTGTTCTTTATATAAAGATGACATTCTTGTTTTTGAGTGTTTAATTAAATAAAAATGTGTTTGAACTATACTTTTAAAAAGTATACTGGACCAGTTGACAAATGTATATTATGTGATATCCCTTTAGTATTAGGGTTTGGTGAGGGGCGGGGGGGGGGTTGGGCCAAACAATGCAGTGTGTTCAGGACTTCTAACTCTGGTTACTGATCTATGAAAATCATATGACAACGCTTGGTAATCACACGGTAAAGTGAATAAACTGCTATGTAATTCAGGTAAATGCTGTCTTGCACTCTACCTATCTCTCTTCCTTGAATGGTTTTGGCCGGTTTATTGGGGAATGTGATGGTCTCAGAGGACCTGTTAGGGGCAAAGTTCACCTTTGTAAGTGTAGACCATTTGGCTGTTCTCTGGATTCACCCTCAGTGTGGTGTCTGAAGAGCATCCTGAGACTAACTCTCAGCATGGCTCAGACACTTCGGCTGTCTTGGCTATTGTTGGCCCTCCTCTTCTTCGGTGGACTGCAGTGTGACCAGGGCAATCGAGCCCATAGCCGCAGCAAGAGGGACATCAGCAATACCCAGTGAGTAGTGATTGTTACATTAGACTTCGAGTAGCTGCACGCAGATCACCTTTTGACAGATCTGGTGATAAATAACTGATGTATTTGAAAGTATGCTAAAAATGATTTCTAAAGGCAAATAGTTTTAAGCAAAATTTTGCATCTAATGTCATCAAAGTATACTATTTAACCCCTTGGTTAAGATGGGCAGATGGCCAAGATCTGCTGATGGGTCCGAACTGTTATTAAACATCTCTAAAGAATAGTTTGCTTTGTAGTTTTTATCGTAAAAGGAAGGATCGCACTTCTTGCTTTTTGAGTGTTTGAGAGTACCATACAGCATATCTAGAGATGCTTAAATTGACACAAACAAACTCTCTGGTGAAACTCCGTTGAGTATCAACAGTGTTAGGTTTAGGTTGAGAATTAGGTTTAGGTTCTGGGTTAGTGTTAGATTGAATTGAGTCTGTTACATTAATCTTGAAGTCCAGTTACATAGATATTTAGTTGAGTGTTAATTCTGAGTATCTACAGTGTACTCTCAAAATAAAGTGTAAATGAGTAATGACTAATAGGTTTTATGGCATAAGAAGCTTGGGATTTGAATGGGTTTAAAAAAAAAAAAAAAAACTTTAGTAACACCTTATTTGAATAGTTCACTTTAGATGCTTTGTAGAGACTTAATTTACTTCTAAGTTACTTAGGACTTAAGTTACATTCTACTAAATATCTACTAAATTGACCATAATTTTCTTTAACTCTAAACCTGGTCCAAATCCTAACCCTAACTTTAACCTCAATCCAAAACCTAAGCCCAACCCTCACTCTGGTCCTAGCCCTAACTTTGATCCAAATCCTAACCCTAACCCCACCATTGTTTAGAATCAACTGAGTTGTTAACAATTTGAACATCTGTAGGTAATCTATAGGGGACTACAGTGTACTCTCCAAGTAAAGTGAGACCAAAACTTTAAACGAAAGATGTTCTTTCAGTTGTCTTAATTTGTAAAAGTAATAATTGCAGTTTTATCTGAGTGAAATTGGAACTTGATTTTTTTTACTAAGAACATGCAAACTATGTTAGTAAAGAAAATATGTAAAGAACATAAAGCCATGCATTCTTTTATTCAGTTCTTTTATTCAAGTCTCTTGTGATGACCTGCAGGCCTCGTATGATCTCAGAGAATGGTCACCTTACTTTTTCTGCGGGAAACAATAAAGACATCAATTTTCAGACCTCAGGGACAGGGAGAGTGAAAGTGGGGGGCGAGGACCTCACTCAGCAAATAGACCAGGTAAGATTATTGTTAGCTTCACATCAGATTCTTTTTTTTTAGGCTCAGGTAACAAGAACAGTCTTAACAATACATTATGGACACTGGCAGCCAGACAGGCCTGCTTGTCACTAAAAAATCAAGGTTTTAAATTGCTAAGTACCTAAAATATCTGGGAAACACAGTAGATTTCTTCTATCTCTGGTTTTTCATGTGATGGTATCAATATGATATAGCATTTTATGGAAAGATAACGTGACCAAATGTTTATATTGCTTTCTATGTTATGTTAGAATTTTAGCATTCTGTCTTATTACTGTAGTAGATCTCAATAACAGTTTCCCTTTCCCTTCATTCTGAACTATCATTTATTGTTTGAATTCCATCCGAGCAAAATTTTCATAATTTTTACTGAATTACTTACCTTTTAAAGTAACTGTTCATGTATGTTCATCAACTTCATTTCAGATCAAAACCAATAAAGATGACATTGAAAAAATAAAGAACAGTGGCCCATCTGAAGACGTCACCAACCAGCTGAATCAGCTGAAAACAAGGGTGACCTCTGTTGAGTCAAAAGTTGAAACAATAGAACAGGTAAGGATTGCTATTATTTTGAATTACTTGTATGCTCTCAATATTTCTCCTTTAAAACATCAATACATATTTAAATGCTGTTTGTGTTCTTGCTTTCTAAGACAATCCAACGGAAAACATGTAGCAGCAACCCGTGCCAGAACTTGGGGACGTGCCTGAACCTACTGGACTCTTTTCACTGTCTCTGCCCTCAGAACTGGCAGGTACCCTGGCTATTACCTGAATTCCACACAACACATGTTCATACTGCCTTAAACATCTATGGGGGCCTGACTCTTTTTTTCTATGACAGGGCCCCACCTGTGCTGTTGATGTGAATGAGTGTCAGATCTATGCTGGAACCTCTCAGGGATGCCAGAATGGAGCCACATGTGTCAACACTGATGGATCTTTCACGTAATGCTCTTCCTGATCCCAGTGATGACTTCCACTACTGAATAGACTTTCTTGTGGTATGGTGACCTCATCTGATTTTTCCCTCTAATTTTGTCCAGTTGCACATGTCCTCCAGAGTGGTATGGACCACACTGCACCTCTCGGTATGATGACTGTGCAGGAGGTAGTCAGGACCTGTGCGTTCATGGGATGTGTATTGATTCTGACAGGGTCACACCTGATGAGGTAATTGTATAAATAAGTGCCTTGTTAAAAACAAATACATTTCAAAATATAATGAAGTGCATACTGCATACAGAATGTACTGCTGCATTATGCTAAAAATGTCTAACAATCAGTTTTGCTTCAAGGACACTTACCATTTTGCAGCAGTTTTGCATGGGTGGCAGCTATTATTGAGGGCACTAGATTGCTTAGTGTTGTTTAAAATGCTTTTCAGATGCCATTCCTTTCAAATTACTTTCTAGTATAATACTCTCAAAGCTGACGTCAGCAAATTCATCCCAGTCCCCCTCATTTTGATACAGCTCAAAGAGTGCAACTCTTTATGTTCTCCATTTTGACTATTGTTTTTTTAACAGCCCAAATATAATTGCATCTGTGATGCTGGGTGGATGGCTCCTGCTGGCAGCTCTGCCTGCACTGCAGATGTGGATGAGTGTAGCCTTCCCAACAAGCCCTGCTCCACTAACCCCGCTGTAGAGTGTTTCAACACACTAGGCTCCTACTTCTGTGGGGCCTGTCCAGCAGGTAAAACTTGGCCTGAATTTATCTGGAATCATGTGTAAGATGCTCCTTATAGTAAAATTCCCAACCTAGGATCAATTTTTACCTTTTGTAAGGGTTTACCTTTTGTCCTAATTAATCATTTCTGAATTAGTATTTTCATAGTAAGAGGGATGATCTGTTTTATTGCTTGTAGGGGGTTATGTTTTGTCCTAATCAGTCCTAGATCAGCATTCTTATTTTTATTCCGTGTAATACATGTGGGTCCTGGTTGATGCAGGGTTCAGTAATGAACTACATTTGACAAATAATAAAAGATTTTTTTTTTTTCCAACTACCTGGCATCTCAAATTGAGCCCCTCCAGAGAAATCTTTTTTTTAACCATTCCACTCTTTTTGGATTATGAATTATTTAGTTTTCTACTTTTATTTTGTACAAGCTTTCACATTAAAAAGCAAAACTATTCTTTATTTTTATTTATTTATTTATTTATTTTTTGTGTTACATACAGTACATGAAACAATGTCATGCCATTCTTATATGTTATTTTTTTAAAAATGCCACATATACTGTTTTTTGGTTGCAAACATATTCCAGTGATTCATTAAGGACATTATGGTTATTGTTGTATCAACTCTTCTTCTACTATTTACTGTGTTATCTTACATAATTCAGGCTGGCAAGGCAATGGCTACAGCTGTCAGGACGTGAATGAGTGCGACACAAACAACGGGGGCTGTTCAACCTCCCCCATGGTGCCTTGCCTCAACACCATGGGTTCCTTCCACTGTGGCCAGTGTCCTTCAGGTATCCCTTTGGCCCACCATCTATCATGCCTCATCAGATCATACCTTTTTCTAACCAACTAGAATGTGTTGCGCTCACTTCTTTTGTTGCAATTTTTAAAAATCTTTTAAAACAATCCTATAAAATTGTTTTAATAACACTCCACTATGAGCTAGATATGAGAAACAGAAGAGCATGTTCTTCTTTTAAAAACTGATTGTAATTCTTGGCAGAAACAAGCATAAACTTGTGAACTAATCATGTATATTTGTGAAGTTAAGAATGCCTATGTGCCTCAATTAGATGAATGTATCTGTTAATTGTAAGTTACATAAAATTGAAAAACTACAGCATTAATTAATTAAGTTATTTAATAGTTGGAAAAACTAATGCTGTTAACTGAACTGCTCTCTGCTCTCAGGTTATGAGGGAGATGGAAAGACTTGCACTCAAGCCGACATTTGTTCATCCAACAATGGAGGATGTTATCCCCTGGCCACTTGTGCCTCTGTCTCAGGTGTCATAGATGCACACACAAACACTTTACACACTTTTACAGTAGTTACTCTTCACAGAAGCATATGACCAGTGGCAATAAGGGATAAAATAAAGCCATTACGATGGGTATTTATGGTTTAAGTACAACACTGCTATCAGTTATGTGTTAACATAAAAGCCACCTTGCACAATAATTATGACAACGGCTAAAAATCCTGGCATGCTACTGTTCAATGGTACATTTCCCCAGAAGTCCTTGTGGTATGTAATTGAATGCATTTTACACTTTAATTTAATTCGTGATTTTAATCCTTTACCCCTTCAGGTAGCAATATCCCAATATGCACTTGTCCTCCTGGTTATGAGGGCCATGGATACGGACCTGTTGGTTGTACCCAGGTTATTGACACCTGTGGCACTAACAATCCATGTGTCAATGGCCAGTGTGAGGTAAGTATCTTCTCCATATTTAGCTTAGTCATCTATATTCTTTCTTTTGTCTTTTGCTTAACAACACATTACTTTTTCCTAGAACACTGCCACTGGGTATGTCTGCCGCTGTGACCCAGGCTGGACAGACCAGAACTGTGACCAGAACATCAATGAGTGTGCCAGTAACCCCTGCCAGAATGGAGGCACCTGTACTGATGGCATTAATGGCTACACCTGTACTTGCACATCACAGTGGACAGGCTCGGAGTGCCAGACTGAACAGCAAGGTTTGCGGAAATGATGCTGCATTAGTAAGTCTGCAATTGCTTGGCTAACACTCTGAGTGATTAAGTGATGGAACTGTGTATGTTTACTTCAGAATGTGGAGGAGTGCTCCAGGGTCTCTCTGGAACTTTTAGTTATCCCAACACTCCTGGGCATGATCAGTATGACCACATGGTCAGCTGCGCCTGGATCATCAGAACTGATGCTGACAAGGTTAGTGCAGACTAGCTTTTCAAGACATTCAAATAAATTCAAGCTTAAGGCCCTTCTTGTCTTTTTAATGCATTTCAAATGATTAATTATTCCACTCTGTTAATCTCTCCCAGATTCTGCGGATCACATTCCCTTTCTTTGAACTAGAGCACAGCAGCACCTGTAGCTTCGACTACCTCCAGATCCATGATGGCGAGAGCGCCTCTGCCTACATGCTTGGCAAATACTGTGGCACCAATGCCCCAGCTGAGCTCTTCAGCTCCCACAACTCTCTTTACTTCTGGTTCCGCTCTGACCACACAATAAACAGTGGTGGCTTCACTGTGTCCTGGACTTCTCAAGCACCAGGTAATACCTAAGACCTGAATCCTTATAGTGGACTATAGCTGTACTGTTCTGTGTTGTGCCAAACTCATAAATGTTTATTTTCTAGTTTGTGGTGGTCACCTGACTAATTCATACGGTGACATCAAGTCTCCTGGTTACCCGGGCAATTACCCACCAAACCGTGACTGCTATTGGACGATAGATGTGGGTCCAGGGCTGATCATTACCTTCGCCTTTGGAACACTCAGTCTTGAACACCATCCTGACTGCAACTACGACTATCTAGAAGTAAATCATCAATCACAACACCTCAAAGACGATCTATTGGTTTCCTTTAATCTCTTTATTTATTTAGAAACCGCTTCAATAAACAAAAATACAAACCAACATTATTATGAACAGTAAAATAAAGACAAAAAACAAATACAATTCAATAGTTTACGTGTAAGTGAATCAGCATAACAATATTTGTGTTCTACTTTGTTCTAGATCAGAGACGGGCTGCTACCGGAAGACCCACTTTTAAACAGGTACTGCAGCACTGATTCCCCAGCCCCCCTGCAGACGACTGGTCCTGCTGCCTGGATTCATTTTCACTCTGATTACGTTATCAGTGACCAGGGCTTCCATATTACCTACACCACCTCTCCATGTAAGTGCAGGTGTCCATGGCCAAGCCTGGAGGCTGACACCGAACGCTAGTGCTAAGATTATGGCCTTGTAAGAATTTAACAGCATGAATAAAATGTGATTTACTTACTATGAAGGGTTCATATCAGATAGCCACGTCAAATGTTTACTACCTGACACCATCTTTCTTGAGATTTAAATGTTCAGTTTGTGTTGAATTATGAGTAAACAAACATGGGTGATTGCAGTAAATACTGCACTTTACTACTGTGTCATGAGCTCATATAGCAGTTATAACATTTCTTCATTTACAAGATTTTTATGGTAGTTTTATTGTTAAAGATTTTAAATCTTACTAGATCTCAATGAATGATTTTATTGATAATTGGATCATGCCAGAAAGTTCAGTTTTTAACCGTTGCTACAAAAACTCTGTGTATGTGTTATAGCTGACCCGGGATGTGGAGGCACCTATACAGACAGTCAAGGCATTATCATCTCCCCCAACTGGCCTAATAATTATGCACATGACAAGCAGTGTATCTATTTGATCAGACAGCCTCGGAGTGAGCTGGTGGTTCTAAACTTCACGCATATGGAAATTGAATTTCACTCTGGCTGTGAATTTGACTATGTGGAGGTATATTGTTTGTGAGTGTGCCTGTGTGTGCATGTGCGTGTGTGTGTGTGTTTGTCTGTTTGTGTGTTCGTCTGTGTGTCTGTGCACAGGTGTGCTTGTTGTATGTTTAAAAAGGGAGATTGTTGAGATTAGGGTTAGCCTTGGAAAATACTTGTACAATATGTACCGAATATACATCACTGTGCAAAAATCTTGGGCATCTAAACAAAATGTTCTGAACCATTTAGCTGGGCAAAAAGTGCATTTTGTTTTGTAAAAACACCATATAAAATTTCAATCAAGTGCATGTTATAAAAGCAGGTTTGGTTCTAGATTACTCTTTAACACTATCAGCCATTGCATAGATTTATTCAATTCCATCACCAGCACACCTTATTTAATGTAATGAAGAATTGGTTGAACCAAACCAGGTTTTAGATGATGACTACAAATAATGCTGGGATCCCTTATGGAGAGATTTGGAAATGCTTAAGCTAATACACTGATACACTTAAAACAGCTACTCACTGTATTAGAATGAAATGTATTTATTACAATTTTTGTGTTTTTCTGAGCAAATAAATGCCTAATGCCCAATTAAATAGCTTTTTAAATAGAATTTTCTCAGGCACCTGAAACATTTGCACAGAACTGTATATACTACTTATGTCACATTTGAAAAAAAAAACACATTCTGACAGGTGTGAGTGTGAAGGAGAGAGATGATATGGTTGTGGATGTAGGTGTCTCAGTCATAACAGATTGTTTGCTAATGAGTTAGGAAGCTATAACAGATTTCCATGTTTCTTGTCTCAGGTGCGTGATGGCTCAGCGGAAACTGATCCACTCATTGGAAAGTACTGTGGCTCTACCCTGCCAGCCCCCATCTTGTCTACTGCTAACGTCCTCTGGATCCGCTTCAAATCTGACAGCTCAGTCAGCCATGCTGGCTTCAGGGCTGTATATGAAATCAGTGAGAGACCTTTTTAACTTAATAATCATGTTAAGACCAAGCGTGGCTGCAGTCAGTAATGTTAGCTGCTAAATGTCTACAAGGTTAGAGAGACAGAGATCATCTATATGTTAAGTATTTTATGTAAACTGTGCTCCCAACAGTGAGAGCTGTTGGAGAGGAATTAAAGAGGAGGCTGCAGACTCCACGCTAACCCCCTCTCATGTGAGACTGGGTGTGATGAGATTCTTTCTGCTAGACCAGCACTTTTCTGATTGAGCACATTTTTATACTGCTGAGACCATGGTGTCAAGCATGGCTGGTTTTAATGTATGCCATCTATCTCTGCTGCAGAGGAAATGTGCTCTCTGGCTGTCTACATGACTGAAGCTGTGTCGTGTCAAAGGCCGAGAGCTGTATTAAATCTGACATGTCTGAATCTCTGACTGTTTCCTCTGTACAACTTATTAGCATTTCTGCCGTGGAGTTGTCAGTTTAACAGCACTGTGTTTTTTTTTTGGTTTTTTTTTGGTGACATTTTGCACAGCTTTGATAAGCTTCTATGTAAATGTTGGAAAAGTAGTTTCATGAAAAAAAAAACAAATTTCCAAAATTTTTCATCACTTCAGATCAGCCAAGACATGCTAGGAATCTGGTGTTTTGAGATAACAGCATATCATACAATGAAATCACATAAGCAAATTCATTTGAGATTATATAAAGATTCACAGTGGTTTGAGGACATTGTGTAATGTTTTGCACATAGCTAGCCTCATAGCTGTGCAAAACTAAAGAAGCAAATGTCTAATATCAAAATGTCTCGATCAACAACCTTTGAGTTAAGGAAAAAATATGTACATTTGATCAGAATCAGAATATCACATCCTGATAAAACAACAAGGATGGTTAGATAAAGACTACATTGTACCACATCTCTTTTAGGTTGTGGAGGCACTCTCTCTGGTTCTGGGCAAATCCGCACACCTCTTCACCCTGACGCCTACCCCCACAACAAAAATTGTGAGTGGGTTATCAATCAGCCTGAGGGCTATGTCGTCACACTCAACTTCCTCACCTTTGATGTTGAAGACAGTGCTGGGTGCTACTTTGACTATGTGGAGGTACAAAATGCTCTTACTTCTAGTTGTCCAAAACAAAAATAACCCTTTACTCATCTTCCAAATGTGTAATACTGTATGCGAAAAAATGTATGATCAACATAAATAATTGTCCCCTTTCTTAGGTAAGAGATGGTGCCTCATCCAGCTCTCCTCTGCTTGGTCGATACTGTGGAAGCCAGGTCCCTGCAATGTTGCAGTCCACACAGAGTCACATGTATATCCTGTTCAGTACCGATGCTTCAGTCACCAATCATGGCTTCACTGCAGAGTATGCATCTGTGATGGAAGGTAATGTACAATTGTGGCATTATGCTATATGGAGTGTCCTCTTGGCTTACTGTTAACTATTCAACTTGGAAAACTAAGAGCACAAACACAGTTGAAATGAATTAAAAGTAGATGTTTTATAGATAATGATCTTTTGGTATTTTCTAATCATATCAACAGGCTGTGGAGACACTCTAACAGAACCTTCAGGAACCATCACCAGCCCTGGCCATCCTACGAACTACCCTCATGGTGCTAACTGCTCCTGGTACATCTCTGTGGCCCCTGGCAACATCATCCGACTCTCCTTCACCTCCTTCAACTTGGAGTACCACGCAAACTGTGATTTTGACTATGTGGAGATCTATGACAATGGCACTGCTCAGACTGGGAATCTTTTGGGCAGGTAAGAGTATCACCTAACAGGCTTTTCACATTACTTGGCAATGATGCATGATACCACTAGAGGTGGGCAATACAACAATATTTTATCATGATCAATTTTATTGTGATAACATGTGGATATTGTCAGTACTTAGAGATCACTGAACAACTGCATGTTTTATTACAAAGGGAACACAAGTAGTTCTGTTAAACTGGATTTGGTGCAGTCAGTATGTAAAATGCTGAATAAAATCATTGTATTCAAAGTTTTTGGATGGCAGTTTTTAAAAAGGGCAGTATGGGTCCATTGTTCGTGTGTGTCAAAATATTGTGATGTGTGTTATGTTTTCGATATAATATTTTTGCCATATTGCCCACACTGTGCACCACTTCAACATTTTAGAGTGTTAGTTATTACTTGTTGTTTTGCTATACTATTGCAGTGTAATTACATTTTCCTTACATAGTAAGTGTGATTTTTTTTTTCCCCCATTTGTTTTGGTGTAAAGCAATGACAAAAACATGGCAAAGATGTAAAGGATGATTTTTCTTTCTACAAAACAAGATAGTAGGAACAAAAATACCTTTTTTATCAGATTCAAATCATAGTAAAATATCTTCTCTTCTTTGAACATAAATGTGGTACTGATCAAAAGTTAAGAATCTTTACTTTTAACAGAATTTCTCTGCTTGTTTCAAAGAGCTACATGTGAGAATAAAATTAACTTATGCTGTGCTTTGGTTATCCCTGGCAATAAATGTGACTTATAAGGGTAACTGAACTGTAAAAACACAAATCTTAACATGATTTTGATATCTTTTTTTATTTTGCGCAGATACTGTGGGCGTTCAGTTCCTCCCTCCCTGACCAGCACTGACAACCTCATGACCATTCTATTTGTCTCAGACTCCAGCTTGGCAGATGAGGGCTTCTCTGCCAACTATGTCTCCCTCAATGCCACAACAGGTAGTGTTCATAGTAGCTGGATGGAATGTGAATCTGACAGAGCATGCTGTTTAAAAAACGTAATACTAGTGGTAAATGTCAATGAAATCTAAAATATGCTTTCATGCTGATAAATACTTTGGTTAAGAAATAAAGGTGATCAAAGATGGACTGTAATCTGTCAGTGATCTGTCTCTAGACTGTAGTGCAGTGTTCACTACTCCCACTGGAGTGCTGACCTCTCCCAACTACCCCAACCACTACCCCATGAGCCGCGAGTGCATCTATGCAATCATAGTGGAGGTCAACATGCAGATCATGCTCAACTTCACTGACTTTGAGCTGGAGGGTGGCTCTTCCTGCCCATTTGACTACGTGGAAATCAGGTGAGGAATCATATAAAGTGTTTATATTGTTGCTGTCATGCCAAAATATTATCACTTAGAGTTTTCTGTGCAAATAAATACTTACTGCCTAGATAAGTAGCTCTGTGTATTATCATTTTCACAAGTGCCTTAGACTTTTGCACAGTACTGTATACGTTTCTGAATATTGTCCAACTTCTTCCTCTCAGAGATGGAGGCTTTGAAACATCACCCCTAATTGGTCGATACTGCTCAAACCAGGCTCCACCCCTAGTGATATCCCATAGCAACAGGCTATGGATTAAGTTCTATTCAGATCACTCTGTCACTTTCAAAGGCTTCTCTGCACATTGGGATGGCACACAGACAGGTGTTGATTACTTTTTTTGGTTTATCTATTAGTAAATAAATCTTGTTTCTGTGTTGCAGTGCATTGCCACTTAGTGAGTCCCTGCTAAGACTTTCTTTCCTGTATTAGGTTGTGGAGGAACTCTGACCACCAGTGTTGGTAGTTTCACATCTCCTAACTACCCTCTGCCCTACCACTCCAATGCTGAATGCTACTGGCACATTAAAGTGAATGCAGGAAGTACCATCCTGCTCAGTTTTGAAGATTTTCATCTGGAGTCCAGCACTGATTGCCGTTATGATTACCTTGCGGTGAGAATAGACATTTCACTGAAAAACTGACATACTCTCACTATGCATCAACCAGAGTAACCTGAGATGTTTGCATCTCGTTCTCAGGTATATGATGGGAACAGCACTAATGCTGATCAGTTGGCCATACTGTGTGGAAACCAGATCCCTAACGCTATTAACTCCACTAAAGAGCAACTGTATGTTAAACTACGCACAGACAGCATCATTAATGCAGGGGGCTTTGTGGCATCATACACATCCAGTGAGTGAACAAAAACTTGTATATCCATGTTTGCACAGATCCATACACAAGCATATATATCTGTAATCATTCATCATTTAGAAGAATTCATTTGAAGACTTGTAAGAGTCATTTTGCCTTGACCGTATGTACTGACTCCTTTTCCTCTGTAAGGCTTAACATTAGGAATGTAAAATTGTTTCATTTTTAATAAGCTACTCAACCCCTTAAAATCCCAGGCTTATTACATACTAAGGCTTATTATTTGGCAACTACAGGGTTGCCAATGTAAACACATTGAGCTATTCTTGGCATATAGAGGTGTGCAATAAAACTTTGGGCTTGCCGGCAGGCCCATGGCCTTTAAGGGGTTAAAGAAGGCAAGTTACATTGTGCTGATTACTTGCATCTCTGTGTATTACAGTCACTGCACCACTCATATTTCATGCAAGATTATAATATAGATTATGGGTCTGACTGGCCTTTATGAAGGCCATTCATGGGGGGCTGATTTTACATGGCTGGTTTATTTTGCAGACTCACAATATTGCAGCCTCTTTTACTAAAGCAATGGCTTTTCACATTTCTGATTTAATTCATCTTGATTTTTCTGGACAATAGTGAGGCTATGGGGCATACTTCAGCTGTGGACCTATTGTTCTATTTCCATGGACACAGACCTTTATAGTACAGAAATGGTCAAGTTGGGTTAGTTTTTAAGTGCAGAAGGGGGTAGCTGGCAAAAAGGTGTGCTGTCTTCTAAGGAATGAGCCGGAGACTACATGTTCCTTCTTTGTGTCTTTTCTTTATATCCTCTTAAATTGTTTTTTGGAAGTAAAGCTTAAAGGCTAAGAGGTCATTCCAGTAAAGTCTGTCTTTCTTTGTTTCACAGCAGTGGCATTTGCCAACTTGGCACTTAGTTCTCTTGCTTGTTTTTTTCCCAGACTCACTTAGCTTTACTTCTAGGTAGGTCAATGTGTCCAGGCCTGATTAAACATAAAATATATTAAATTAGTCTGTAGTAAAGGAACAAATTACTTTGCATGTTTTCCAAAACCCTATAATCTGACCAGTGGCCACTCTAAACTGTGACATTTTAATTTGTGGTTTCTGGGTATGCACATGTACTCATATACATTAAAAGATTCACCTGTCTGATGTTTTAAAAAAAGTGGTATAGGTGTTAATATGCATGGACATATCCTTCACAGGTTGTGAAGATGTTGTCATTGCTAACCAGAGAAGTGGAGTGATTGAGAGCCAAAATTTCCCAAACAACTACCCCTTTAACTCCAGATGCAGCTGGACCATCCAGGCCACCATGGGCAACACCATCAATTACACCTTCACTGCTTTTGACCTGGAGAGTACCTCCGCCAGCTGTATATACGACTATCTGGAGGTCAGTATCCACTGGAGTTGAGAGTTGGAGTAGAGTTCACAGTTGGGAAAAAATCCAAATGTGACACATTCTTACATCATGGCTAGTATGTCTAAGAATGAATCCTTAGAGATGAGATTTTCTTTCATTGAAAGGATCTCTGTTTAACATTCAGAACTGCTGTTGCATCTTCTTTTGCATCTTTACAAAAGAAATCCTGCATGTCTTTTCCAGCCATGTTGTGATATAGGACCTTATTATCCTAAGCTTTCCATAGACTGGCATTATCTCTGTCTAATACTATGCAACGCGGGGCTGAAGTGGTTTACAGCAGTTTGGATCTCTTTAAGCAGTCATGGAATTATTCTTATTCATTCAGTCTTAGTAGGCTCTCTGAAAACTCACAAGAAATGCATTGAGTTCGTACTTGGTTCCTTCATCACCATGGTGATCCAAACAGTCATGACATCATGGGGCCCACAGGAGAGGTGGTGGAATTTCTCTTATGGGCCCTTTGCAAGGTTCTTTTTCCTGTCTCCCCTCAGGCAGCCTTCAGCAATAGTGAACTCTTGTGTTGTTTTCACTGCACTCATTTCCTTCATCTCATCTCAGATAAAATCAGTGCTTTAGGAAAACAGCCTCAGTTACACAAGATATGTTAAAATGTGATCTTATACATTTGTTCCTAAGTGTTTAGATGCTTTATCACTAGTGAGAATGAAAAAGTACACTGCATTCCTTTAAACTTCTGTCACCATGATGTCAGACTCAAAACAGAAGGCGTTGTATACTCTGAGGTTAAATCCTAAATTGCCATGTTTTTAAACCTTAGTTTTCAGAATATAACGTATAACAACAATATAACATGTTGTTGATGCAAAGGTTGAAGACTAGTATGTAACACTTCTCGTCATACTAACTATACTATACTAAACAACATATTTCATACTAACGTCATACTAACTATACTGTACTAAACAACATATTTACTTTGTTGTTGTGTTGACTAATATTACAGTTCCTGTAATTATTATTGTAATTATTATTAAGTTGTATTTTATTATCATCATCATGAAGTGTTTGTACTAATATCATTAGGTTAAACAACTGGTATCATGAGGTTATAACAACCATATAACATGTTGACACAGATGTTGACGATTAGTATGTAAAACTTGTTGTCAGACCATATTAAGCTGTATCCTATCATCATCATAATGTCATGTTTGTACTAACATCTTGAGGTTTCTGCAAGTCTTTCCAGCTCACACAGACACTCTTCTGCCTTTTTTTACACTCCTTAATAAACCCCTCAATATCCGTGTAGGCCCCTTCTAACTATGAGGAAATCAAGGCTGTTTCATTTTAAAAATACTACTAATACCTCTGAAAGTCAAATTAAGTTGCCATTCTATTATATCTCAATAACTTCTTCTGTCTTTGTCCAGCTGTATGACGGTCCAAATACCCAAGCTCCTTTGATTGGTAAATTCTGTGGCAGCACGCCCCCTCCAGCAAATGCCACCACCAGCAGCAGCCTCCATGTTGTGTTCCATTCCGACCTCTCTATTGCCCACACTGGCTTCCGGATGCTTTGGTACCAGAATGGTAGGATCCCAAACATAACACAGCTAAACCATAACCACTCATACACTGTAAAACAACACTGAAGTTTGCAAGGAATAAAAGATAGAATTCCCAAAGACAGAATGGGTCAGTAATAAGCACTTTGTCTCAAAATGATGGTCATGAAGAAAATATCAGTGCCTTTAGACAATTCAAGTGACACCATACAGAAGGCATAGAGGTGAGTGATTGGACACAATGACTTGTTTTTCCCCTTGCCTCTCATGTAGCTGAATATGAGAAATGAAAGTGTCCCTGCACCTGATTAATTTGAAACTCAATTACAAGTAATATATCATTGCTTTTGGAGCAAAATCTTGTATCTCAAAAATGGTAACTTTATGAGAGAAAGGAACAAAAAAAATTCTGAAACATTCTGTTAATGAAAGTTAATGCAGCAATTATTTATTGCAAGTAATTTTGGACTGTTTCTATTGGTCCATTCATTATCAAATTTTGACACAATGAGTCTGTTTACACCTGGTCAGTTCAGGTGACTAGTATCTGGAATGTATCTGTCCATATTGCTATTAAGCATTTCATTTTGTCTGGTCCCCAGCCACGAGAGTCCCAACTACGTGCCCAGTGACTGCATGGGGTGGAGTTTTGGTTGTACTGGGAGGGGTTTTGGTTGTTGAATGTGTCTTAGAGATATGGGTGCATTTACAGTGCTATAGCATGTGGCTAAAAAAGGCATCTCAGTCCACTTCCTGAAGTGGTTTGAGCGATCGAATTGGTGTTGTGTGAATTTGTGTGCCTAGGGTGCGTTTACACATACATTATTATGTGATTTGCAGATTTCCAGATATAATCCTGATACGCAAGACGCATGAAGTGACCAGGTGTAAACAGGGTCAATGTAAAGGGAAGCTGGCATTTTCAAAACATGTCAAAAAATGGAAAACAACTAAAATGGAGATACAAGGCTTTGTCCCGACAATGGCAATATACAATGTAGAACTGAACCAGTGTGTTTTTATCCATCTGTATGACATGCTTAGGTAATACACATATTTCACACACTGCAAAGTTGCACATAGTTCCTCTCCAAACCACAACTGTTGGACTCTGTCTGTTGGGAAATGCTGATAGAAGTTTGTTTGAGGTTCTCTACACTGTTTAACTGTAGCTGTATGTAATGGGAAGCACATTGTAACTCTGTGTGTAGAGGGACTGCCCTTAGTCATTTTTTCCAGAATGGGAATGTGGAAAAAACAGGCTATTAACGCCTCCAAAGTGAGCACTGTCAGAAAAAGACAAACACCTTTAACTCTATTTTGCACCACCATTATTACTAAACCTTGCATTAATCCACTAAGAGTCTTACTACATCTTCTTTAGTTGAACATGTCAGTTTCTAGTGGCAACACTGGCTGTTCAAGAATGTATTAAAGATAGTAAACATTATAAAATAAATATTTTAAAGCTAGAAACATTAGAAAACTTTCATTTGTTTAATGATAGCATGCCTGTGTAGTCCTGATTGGTGTCCCTGCTGTGAATGTGGTGTGTAGCTAATGTTCAGGGGCAGTGAGTCACTGGGCTGATGGGTGTGGCTGCAGTTTATTTATACAGCCACAGTGGACTTAGGGCCAGCTTTTACTCCCAGGCTGCAGCACTAATCCAGCTCTTTCACTCTCAGCACACTGATGACAAAAACAACTACATTGGAGTTTTCAGCTACCACTGATGTTTCCTGGCATGACATAATCGGTTGGAAAGTAAGAGTCGAGATTTCCAATTTGTGCATGAAGTAATGAAAGTAAATGGGTTGAAGTTATGATATAACATTTGGAACTAACCCTGAGAGATGGGTTAGTGAGAGAGAGAGGCTAGCATTTGAATTGTTCTTGCTAGACAAATGGCTCCTCCCTGAATGGGTAATAGTACAGAGTATTTCATTACTGTCTGCAGTATTGACCCCCTATTCCATCCTCTTTCCCTTTATGACCAGTGGGCCTGTGGGTGGTTTGATTTTACTGAGTAAGGACAGGAGTGGGGTTTAGAGTGTAGTGCCTCTTCTTAGATGATACTGAATATCATTCTACAATCACTTTCTTGTTGTGTTCAATAATATTACAGCTTATTGTTTCATTAGTATTACATGGATCTCATTGTATAGCATTTCTGCTCATAAACTGACAGACTATAATGCAATAACACATTAGATGATTCTTTTTCTGACATCTTATGCCTCTCAGCTCAGAGTCTCCCCCCCACACAAGCTCTGAATTTCTAAAAAAGGCAGTGCTCAACATGTCAGTCAAATCAGGTTAAACTACAGGCAAAACTGAAAGTGTGCTAGACAGCCCAAAATATCCCAACTAATCTGGGTCAGAGACCTCTCTATAAAGCAAGTTCACCTCCAGGGTTTTTCAAAAGTCATTCTCAGTGCTCTGTTGCATTTCTGCAAATTAAGACAGAGACTATAAGGCTCTCTCATATGAGTCATCTCACCTGTAGTCCCTCAGCACCACACTTTGTGTCAGATCTCATTTGAGATACTAAATTTAGCACAGTGTCTAGCATTTCTCACAGAGGCAATGTGCTGTTCTATTAAGACATGAATTGTAACTGTTTGATATAATGTGAAAATGGTCTTTAGTCAGTTCTTTTTGACCAACAAACACAGTCTGGTGAAGTCAGAGGATAAAAGGTCATGGTAAGAATTACAAGCCTGGCATAGAAACCTCTTCTCTTGTAAAAGGTTTTAAGCTGACGTGATGTGCGTCACTGCAGTTAAACAGACTCATTATTGCCCCCTGCAGGTTGTGGTGGAGAGTTATCTGGGCCCTCTGGCTCCTTCAACAGCCCAGGTTATCCTGACAAATACCCTGAAAACCGGGAATGTGTGTGGTACATCCAGACCAGCCCTGGCAGCAGCATCACTGTCACCATCCATGAGTTTGATATAGAGTACCATCCCAACTGTGACTTTGACCTGCTAGAGGTAAAAACTATCCAAAAAAGTCTCTGTTTTCATGGTCCTGTGCAGCTTCACTCATTAGGTGCTATGGCCCATATAAAAAACAGATTCATGCTATAAAAGGACAATTTTGGTCTAAACATGAGATCAAGTATCAGCGAGAGTCCAACACTGGTGTGCATGCAAAAGCACCAGTTGAATAAACACATATATAACAAAACATGCTCTTGCTTTGCAGACCTTCTCCACAATGTTTTCAACTCAGATATTGATTTTTAAAATTTCTGCTTAATAAATTATTGAGATGTAAACAATGACATTCAGAGTGATTTGATTTGAAATGGTATGCTGTAGAGAAGCTTCCCAACTCAGATTTCTTTACAGTGCTGATGTAAAGCCATTTTATTTACTATCCAAACCACTAGTGAACCTACACGTATCTATGTTGCATGTCTTAAAAGAACTACAATTTAAAAATAATTAAAATTCTTTTAATTTCTTAGGTGTCAGGTAACATTTATATTTATAACCTTTTGTGTAATTACTTTCCTTGAGAGAGCTTTTAGAGCAGTGGTCACCAACCCTGGTCTTGGAGATCTATCTTCCTGCAGAGTCTAGTTCCAACCTCAACCTTTCACACCTCCTCCAGCTAATTAACTTCTTCAGAAGTTCTTGATTGGTTGGATCAGTACATTAGTATTTGGTCAGATGCTGGTTGGAGCTAAACTCTGCAGGAAAGTAGATCTCCAAGAGGAGGGTTGGTGACCACTGTTTTAGACCACTGTTTTAGAGGCATTAAATGCTTTGGACATCTGGTTCCTAACACCTCCACTGTGAACAATTCTGACTTGGTACATTTGACTAGAATGGAGCACATCACTCTGAATGACTTTGTTTTCATCTTACTGATTGAATTATGCTGAAATTTTGACAACAATACTCCTCTTTAGGGAGGAGCTGGCTCTACTGAGCTCCCCCTATTTGTTTTGTAAATAGCAATAATACATTACACAATTGAACAGGTAGAACGTTTCACAAAGTACAAGTAAGAAAATGCATTCTTAAACAATTTGAATCCACTTTGCAGAGCTTTTAAGCGGCACACTTTTATATATATAAGAGATCATTCACGCAAATCTGTGATTAAACCATGTTATTATGTTCTTTTTGATGTGTTTTTGCCTGATATATGCATTTGTGCTTTACAAATTTACACTTTTAAACAGTGAAATTACCAGTGATCAGACTGCAGTGAGCCTGTTTTGTGGTGTGAGTGTGTGTGCCCTGTTGGCACACAGCAGACTCAGTGGGCACAATGAGTGGGGGTTGTGTACTTCAGACCTTTGGAATGCTGACCTCCACTGTCGCAATGAATGGAGTAAGTGGGGTGGAAGAGAAGTGGAAATCAGAGCTTAGAGCACAGGCTTTATCTGTGGCTCTCTCTCAACTACACACACACACACCCCCACACACCCCAACACACCAGCCAGCCGTTTTTTTTTTTTGTGGCCCATAGAAACCCCTCCCTGCCTCTACCCAAACGTTTCCTCAATGTTGTGTCTATTCAGTACACTGCCACCGAAGTGCTGTGCAGTGCACAATAATCCAGTTCAGGTGGTGCAATTTCTCTCCTCATCTGGATGCCAAACAACTTATTTGTTATTATTAACATGGTCAAAAAGACTAATCATCAGGTTTTCTCCACAGGCAGTTTTTGTAGTACTTTGATTTTGCATCACCAGAACATTTCACAAAGCACAATGTCCCAGTAAAGCTGAATAACATGACTCCAAAATGAGGATTGCCCAGTAATAATGTATTGTATCTTTTCTCCGATAGGATGAGCAGAGAAATTTAGCCTGCATTATAGGGCTAACTTAGAAATCATGCTTTTTGAAATCAAATCAAACTACGTTTTAGTCTGGTATAATCCAAACAGCTTGGGGATTATGTTTATCTTGGCATTTTTTAGCTCAGTACAGAATAAAGGTGTAATGATTTCAGTATGTTTTGAAAAATTGAATTTGGAACAGTTGTATCAAAAATTTTAACCATATCACCGATACACGTCTTGTTTTCCTCTGAGAGTCTCTCATCTTTCTTAGAGACAACTGTCAGCAATCAGGACTAAGCATCTGTGTGCATCCTATCAGGGTGGCAGGGAGGGGGAGGGACTTATGCATGCTCCCACGCTTAAATGATTGTGCTTTTCATAAACGAATTATGAATTCTGGGACTGCGATGTTTGGGGCGTATTTTGTTAGAGGGTGGCGCAGCAGGCATTAAAAAAGCTCTGTTGGAGAACTTTTAATTGTCTGGGCCAAACTAAGCTGGGCTGGGTTTCCTGAAAACATCTTAGCTTCTTACAGAGCAGAAGTTGATTTGAAGTGATGAAAAATTTTGCTTTAGTTCATCTTATTTGGGTTGAATAAAAACAGCTAAATTGCTTGTTACCACATGAAATTATTTTTATATGCACTCCCGAGTGGTGCAACCGTCTAAGCGTTGGCCCTATCATCAGGAGATCGCGAGTTCGATCCCTAGTGATGCTACAGCCATCCATAGCCGTTAGTCCAAGAGAGCACAACTGGCTTTGCTCTCTCTGGGTGAGTATGATGGCCCCTCCTTCTACCCTCATCACTCAGCGCGATGCTAGTCAGCGCAGGCGTCTGTTAGCTGACGTAACAGATCTGGCGGTTGGCGCTTTCCTCCGAGCGCGTTCAGCTGTTGCGTGAGCGGCAGCTCGTAAAGATGTGGCGGCTGGTTTCACAGGTCTCAGAGGAAGCCTGTGTTAGCCTTCACCCTCCTAGTTGATAGTATCGTGTGATTGGGGGAGTCCTAACTAGCGGGTGGAACTGAAGACGACTAAATTAGGGAGAAAATCGGGTAAAAAAAAATATGCAAAACACCTCAGTATCTCACTCACTCACGTTTAGCAAGACTGTCCACAAGGAGGAGCTACTGGCACTCTAGTAACTTCTGTGTGTGTCCAGATCAGCAGGATATCCTATGTTTGCAGCATGTATGCTTGCGTTTACAAATCAATCTTTACTTCATTATTGTATGTAAATGGAGCTAATCAAACCCTATGCAGGTGCTTCACATCAGTGACACTTTGTATTGTTGTTTAGGTTAAACTGAAAAGCCATTTTTTTTTACTATTCTCAACATATACAATTTTGAAAACGAATCTTTACCTCAGAATTGAAAATCATCTTAAGCCTGAAAAACCTGGAAAAATCAAATCTGTACTCTTTGTTTTTTCTGTTTTTTAAAAAAATGTATCATATTGAGACACACAGGCATTTCATATTTAATCAGATTTTGAAATTTGTACCTCTAGTAAAGAGGGGCTTTAGGGCTACTATGTCCTTTACAGCATGTGGATCCTGCAGCATGGTTGATGATGTGGAAGATCCTGGATGTTATGTGACAAGTTTTCATTCTGATGTGTGTGCAGGTATATGGAGGTCCTGACTTGAGTGCCCCACGACTAGCCCAACTGTGCACCACACGTCCCCCGAACAACCCCCTCCAGGTGTCCAGCACAGGCAATGCCGTCACTGTCCGTTTTAAGAGTGATGAGTATGTCAGTGGTGGAGGCTTCAGTGCTAGCTGGCAGGAAACCCAAGGAGGTGAGCAGTGGTTATCCTAATGCACTTTTATCCTAAGGGCAAACTTACACATATATAATGCTTTCAATTAAAGCTAATATAGCTTTCACATAATCTTCCTATTTGCTCTGTTGAATGTTCTATGGTCAATGAACAATTTGCTTTCTGATTTGCTTAGGATGTGGAGGACCTATCACAGCACCCAGTGGAGAGATCCATTCTCCCCAATACCCCAACAACTATCCCAACAATGTAGACTGCTCCTGGGTCATCACTGTGGACAAGGGCCACCGGATTCTCTTCAACTTCACTGATGTGGACATTGAGAGTCACTCCTCATGTATCTGGGATTATGTGGATGTAAGTGATTGGAGCATCGCTGTTTTCACCCATTTTGCTCATGACAATTGCAGTTTTACCACTGCTGCATGTTCTATGGTTGGGCGTGGCTCAGAATCCTTGTGCCTTTATTTAAGTTGTTTCCTAAATCCTAATCATTATGCTTAGCCAATTAATGCTGTTTGAACCTGACAAATCATCTTACTCGCTTATTCTTATGCTTCAGATCCATGATGGTCCAGAACAGTCCTCTCCTCTGTTGGCCAAAGTTTGTGGTTTCTCCATACCTGATCCCATTTTCTCCACACAAAACATCATCTACGTTCGCTTCAGATCAGACGTCAGCAGCAATCACAGGGGCTTCAGGGCAGAGTTCTCAGAGGGTCGGTGACAACACAAGTTCTACACAATTCACAAATGTCATGATGCCTTATGTTATTTCACATATGTGGTATTATTTTTCTGAGTTGGGCTGTAGAGTTACTTAATTTCCTTTTACAGCTTGTGGATCCACCATCATGGCTGATGATGTGGGAGGTGCTATTGCTTCCCCACGCTATCCATACCCATACCCCAACAACCAGAACTGCAGTTGGATCATTATTGCACAAGAACCATGTGCGTGAGCCAAACCTATCTGTACACTTTCACTGATTATTTTTTTTTAAATCATGTTTCTGTTGTACTGAACTTTTGGAATTTGTATTTTTATCTCGCAAATGAACAGTCAATCATGTATCGTTGTCCTTCACTGACTTTGAGTTGGAGATGTTAAACAGCAACTGCTCCCATGATGCAGTAGAGATCTTAGATGGTGACAACTATGGGGCCCCATCTGTCGGTAATTACCTACCTATCTCATCATCAGTTGTAATACTGTGTTATTATCTGTAGTTGGCCAGGACAGTTGAAGCATCTAGTTTGTCCTTTTTATTTATTTATTTATTTATTTACTCACTCACTCACTCACTCACTCACTTGTTTGTATGTTTGTTTGTATGTTTGTTTGTGTGTTTTAGGTCGTTACTGTGGCAGTGACATACCTCATCCAACTACTTCATTCAGCAATGCCCTGGTGGTGAACTTTGTGTCTGATGCTTCAGTAACCAGGAAAGGCTTCAGAGCAACATACATGGCCTCAACCTCAGGTCTCCAGTTCAAGTTTCAATGCTTGCATTCAACCTTGGTCAGTCTGGAACTGGATTAATTTATTGTCTGCTGTGTAGTAACCTCCATTATTCTGTCATCTTTCAGGATGTGGTGGTAACCTTCACATGGAGTCTGGGGCCTTCAACAGTCCTAACTACCCAGATGCCTATCCACCCAACATTGAGTGCGTGTGGACTATCATTAGCTCCCCTGGAAACCGCCTCCAGCTCTCCTTCATGTAAACGTCTTCCTAGTGTTACTCCCATCTCACTTGTAATTAAACCAGTCCCTGTGATGACTTAGTTGGTAGTCTGCTCTCCCTTACAGTTTTTTTATTCTCTCTCAACTTTTAACACAGTCTGTTCGAGCTGCAGCAGAGTACAGGCTGTAATAATGAATATCTAGAAATTCGTGAGGGGAACTCTACTGGCACCTTGGTTGGCCGTTTTTGTGGAAACTCCCTTCCCTCTAATTACACCTCTCTCATCGGTCATGTGCTCTGGGTCAAGTTTGTTTCAGACGCCTCTGTCAGTGGAGCTGGCTTTAGGGCCACTTTCTCCCACTGTGAGTTTAAATGCATACACTGAATAATCTTCGAATCTTTTGCATAATCTTTTTGAATAATATTAAGAGGGTAAACTGACTTTTAAAGAAAATTAATCTTTCAAAAAAGCATTAAGTGTTTGTATATGGATATACAGTTACTGTGTAAAAATCTTAGGCAGCCAAGAAAATTGTCTAAAATGTTTTATTTCTGTTATGCAAGTGTGTTTTTATCCATAATATAACATTAGAATATATAGAAATAAATACACACACACACATATCTTCTAAGCCGGTTATCCTTCTGGGTCGCGGGGTGGAGCTGGAGCCTGTTCCAGCAGTCATTGGGTGGAAGGCAGGATACACCCTGGACAGGTCACCAGTCCATCGCAGGGCTAGAAAAAAATATAATTAACATTTTTTCTTAAGTAATTTCATTTAAATATTGATTAGACTAATTAGGTATGGGATGGTAACTGAAAATACTGTTGTCTGTTACCTCTCTCTGTTTCTCCAGTGTATGGAAACGATATCACAGGTACTTCTGGCCAAATTGCTTCACCCCTGTATCCACGCACGTACCCCAACAATGCAGACTATCGCTGGACAATCACTGTCGGTGGAGACTCTTACATTCAGATCACTTTCCTGGATATTGATATAGAAGACTTGTATGACTGCTATTATGACCAGCTCAAGGTTAGCACTGCTCTGTAATTTTGAGTTTTGCTTCACTTTTAATGAAACTGTGATGTTAAAATTTATTAATTTTATTAATTTTCCCTCAGGTTGTCTATGCCATGAAAAAAAGTAAATTCTTGTCTGATATAATTTTTCACTGAATCAGAGAAAGAATAAAACTTTTTATTTGTAAGTAAACTGCCTTTTCTTATTAGATATTTGATGGACCTAACGTTCATGCGTATCCTCTGGGAGTTTTCTGTGGGCCGCGTTTGCCTGAGCCTGTGAGAAGCTCTGGCAGTACCGTGACCCTAGAGTTCACATCAGATTTTGTGATTGGAGGAAGAGGCTTCCTTGTTGAGTGGACAGCCATCCAGAGCTCTGGTCCTTTGCCCACTATAACACCAGGTCAGATCACTCATGTAGGAAAAGTATATCAATTTCTTGAGTCTTGAGTATGAGTCATATGACAAGAGGATGTCCATTTTACCATTGAACTCAAAGTGTGAGCTGTACTTGTTTATTAGGTGCTTGTGGAGGTTCTCTCATGCCTGATGACACACCCAGGTTCCTCTTCTCTCCTGGCTGGCCTAATGAGTATGAGCCAAACCTAGAATGCACTTGGGTAATCCGCTCACCTGACTCCACTGTGGAGCTCAACCTGCTGTATATGGACATTGAGGGTGAAGCCACATGTTTGTACGACAGTTTAGTCATCAGGGATGGTGAGATTCATATGTTATGAAACTAAAGTGATTAAAAAATGAATAATGATGTGAATTTCAGACCTCCTCATTTCTCAATGCAGATTGTTGCTGTCAAAAGATCTTTTTACATTAACAAGCATTCACATTTCTCCTTTCTCCATAAACTTACTGTTTCTCACATATGAGGTTTTGTTATGACAGCTTTAATTACAATAAAAGCTAAATGTCTGGATAATGCCTTCAGTTATGTGATTTTCCAAAATGTAACCTAGGTGCTCCTTTCCCCAGGTGAGACTAACCTGTCCCCATTGCTGGCAAGGCTCTGTGGTCGTGAGTTGCCTGGTTCGCTCCATTCTACAGGTGACTCCCTGTTCCTGCGTTTTACTTCAGATTATAGCATCAGCGGATATGGCTTCAATGCATCCTACTCTAAAGGTGAGCACAAAAACCCTTTTCAGTGACAATACTGTGACTAGACTGAACAGTAGCTGTAAACTGGTTAATTGTTCTTGTCAGGTTGTGGTGGTCTGCTCCATGCAGACAGAGGAGTGCTCAGCTCCCCTCACTACCCTCAGAACTACAAACCTAACCTGGACTGCAGTTGGCATGTGATGGTCACTTCTGGCTTTAGGGTGTCTGTTACCTTCGAAAGTCCATTCCAGGTGCAAGGTTTTGGCACTGCCTGCAGCTCTGGAGACTATCTGGAGGTAGGACCTTGACTGGGAAAATGCAGTCATAGTATCACAGAAAGACTTACTGAGAGACAGACAGACAGGTTGTCTTTGCACTTTAATCTTTAATCTTCCTTAATCTTACGTAAGGGTGTTATTTTTTTTAGTTGCGGAATGGGCCAGATGGTAATGCACCATCTTTAGGTGGTCGTCTATGTGGAGCCAGCGCCCCTGCAGTTACACAGACTACTGATAACCATCTATATGTGCAGTTTGTCTCAGATGCCTCAAATGAGGCCAGTGGATTTAAACTGTTATTTGAAGCCCACAGTACTGGTAAGGCCTTACAAAACCTAACTAGTTACGTAATAATAATCATGATAATGGCGATGATGATGATGATGATGATGGTGATTGTTGTTGTTGTTGTTGTTAATTTATTTATTTATGTAGTGCCTATTTAAAACAAAAGAATAACAAGCTGAACTATAAAGCACTTTAAAATTAAAGCAGAAAAAAAAGAACACAGATTTATGGACCTACAGTATATTTACAAATGGACCGTTATTCAAAGTAATACACAACCTCAAATAATAACATAAATTATTCCTTAAAAAATATTAATTAAGTAAATGAGATTGAAATTTTGACAAATGGTTGTATTTTTTCAGCTTGTGGAGGAACCATTGAGTTGAAAGATGGAGATCCACCAGGGTATATTACATCACCTAATTATCCATCAGACTATCCTCAGAACATTGACTGTGTCTGGATTATCATGGTGCCCAATGGAGAGTCTGTGCAACTGGATTTTGAAGATTTCTACATTGAGCCAAACACTCTGTATGGGACATATCTGTACTTATGCATTTTCAGTTATTCATTAGCTTATTTGGTGCATGGTGCTCACTGGAACTCTTCTTAATCCTCTCTCCTAGATGTTACTATGACTACCTGGAAATACGGGATGGTGTCACTTCAAATGCTGAACTGCTTGCCAAGCTCTGTGGCAGTACAATACCATCTACCCAACATTCCACAGGTTCTGCTATGTACCTTCGTTTCCGCACTGATCACATCATTACACACAAGGGCTTTAAGGCCAAGTACTCCATAGGTAAGTCAATATTCAGACCACTACCATTTAGAGACTCTCAGAGATTTGTAACTCTGCTTGTTCACTCACTTTGTGAATGTTTAAACATTATTTCATGCAAACAGCTTCATGCGGTGGCACATATATTGGCCAGAGTGGTACCATCAGAAGCCCAGGATACCCAGATTCAAATTACCCAGACAACTCCAATTGTGAGTGGTACCTGGAAGGCCCCACTGGACACTACCTGACCCTCAGCTATACAGCCTTTAATCTGCAGAGCTCCACTGACTGCGCCAATGATTATGTAGAAATACGCGAGTACAATGCTTCTGGTGAGTCATAAAGCACTAATAATAATGCATCAGAACCCTTTTTTTTTTTTACAAGATACTAATCAGAGCTTTACTGTTCTTTAGGCCGCTTGCTAGGAAAGCACTGTGGAAGCAGTTTGCCTGCACCCGTGGACACAGGAGACAGTTTTGCCTATGTGAAGTTTGTCAGTGACGGAAGTGGAAATGCAGCAGGATTCAGCCTGTCATTTGAAGCCAGTGTAGAGGGTAGGTAACTTTTAAACTGCACAATGATCCATATAAATATTCCAATCCTGGTTTCAGAACTTCTCCAAACCAATTATCTTTGTTTTTTTTTGTTAAACCCTCTTAAAGAATGTGGAGGGGATCTGAATGCCCCCTCTGGGACTATCTCATCTCCAAACTACCCTAATCTGTACCCTCACAACCGGGTATGTCACTGGAGAATCACTGTACCTCATGGCCGAAGGGTTACCCTCACCTTTAATGACCTTCGGCTGGAGGAACATGGAAGCTGTGTATATGACTACGTAGAGGTGAGAGCAAACCTAATTTCAGTGACACTACATGTCCAAAAGTATCCAGACACTTCTGCTCATTAGTGAATTCAGCTACTTTAAGGTACACCCATAGCTGGCACAGTTGTTCCATCATGTACACCTGAGCTTGTAAAATCTCTATAGAAAAGCAAAGCCAAAGTCAAGTCAGGCTTTTTTGTCATTTCAGCTATACACAAGTACACGGTGAAACAAAACAACATTCCTCCAGGATCGTGGTGCAACACAGGAACACAAGTGTGAGACAATACAATATGCACAGTGCAGACGATACAGTACAATAAATAATATGAAAGACTTACAATAAATACAAAACAGAACACAAGCAGTACACGGTACGGTTAACGGTTATCTGGAGTGAAGAAGCACCATCCAGTACCTTTGGGATGAGCTGGATTGGTATTTGTGATCCAGAACTAGTTATCTAACATCAGCACCTGACCTCACTAATGCTCTTGTGGCTGAATGCAATCAAATCCTCACAGCAGTGTTCCAACATCTAGCCTGAAATCTTTCCTGAACAATAGAGGCTGTTACTGCAACAAAGAGGGGACAAACTCCCTATTTATAACCTTGATTTTAGAAAGAAACGTTGGATCAGCAGTTGGATTACAACCTGTGGACAGTCTACAAACTTTTGAACGTGTTGTGTATTATATGCATGAACGCTGTGTAAGACCAACAAATAATGCAGCTCCAAGTAAAACTTAAGAAGCTCTAAAGTGCACCAGTAAATACTTGTATTGGTTAAATTTTGCTCAGTTTTGTGTTCAGTCATTCTGTATATGTCTCAGTCTCTGACAATCTACATGATAGTCAGCAAATGTTATATATTAATCATTTGTGTATCTGATATCATTATTCTTAGGTCAAAAATGGGCTAGCATCCAATGCCCCTCGTATACAGCGCTTCTGTGGCACTGTACCTGCAGGCACACAGGTGAAATCCTCTGGCAACACTATGATGGTTATTTTCTCCACTGATTCTTCTGTGTCCAATGGTGGATTCACTGCAGATTATTCCTCTGATGAGGAAGCAGGTGAGGGAGTTTACACAGCCCCTGAAAACTCCAGAAATTCTGTTAAGATTTATTAAATATAAGATTGAATAAAAAACAACTTAATGCAGAGCTATTACATAATATGCTATTGTGAACCTTTTTTGTCATATTTTCTTGGTCCCTGTTTTTCACAGTATGTGGAGGAATCCTAGATACCCCAGGAAACTTCACCTCACCTAACTATGGTGTTGCTAACTACAGCAACAATCTGAACTGTGAGTGGCTGATCCAGAATCCACAGCATGTGAACTCCTCCATTGTGGTGCTTATAGATTACTTGCACTTGGAAACCCACCAGAACTGCCAAAAGGACTACCTGGAGTTCAGACTTGGTGAGTGACACAGCAATGCGACATAGAAGAAAATTCTTTGTGTTTATAACACATAGCATGACATTAGTCACCTGACTTGGAAGGATGCCACTTCAAAAAGGCTGATTATTCTTCTTACCTTTACAGGTGATGTAAATGGTGAACTGCTTGCCCGTTTGTGTGGTCAGACCATTCCAGAGGTTCCAATTGTGGTGTTCACTCCTCAACTTTGGGTTCATTTCCTAACTGATGAAGATGTTGTGGATTTGGGATTCAAAGCTACATATTATTTCTCAGGTAATCTAATTTGCTGATGTAGCAAAAATATTGATTGAGAATCTATGAACAAAAGTATATTGAACCAAAATATCATTCAGACTGTGGAGGTTCCCAGACGGGTGAAGGAGGAGTTATTTCTAGCCCTGGTTATCCAAATAACTACCCATCCCCAAGTCGCTGTGCCTGGCTCTTGGAAGCTCCAGAAGGCCATACAATCATTGTGAGTTTATACTGACACAACATCTTTGGTTCCTACACATTTGGTTCCCACGCATATTGATAATGTTTGGCAAAATAATTGCATCCTCCTATGTAATGTGTACTGATAGTATATTCTGTCTTTGCCCAGCTAACATTCACATACTTTGAAGTAGAAGAACACAGCCAGTGTTCTTGGGACTCAGTGACAATCTTCAATGGAGGCTCTTCAGGTTCTCCCATAATTGGACAATACTGTGGTCATAATTCCCCTGGGAGAATCCAGTCAGGTTCGAACAAGCTAGCGGTGGTATTTCTGGCTGACCACTTAGTGTCCAAGGGAGGGTTTATTGCTACTTGGTCAACAGACTCCTCAGGTATGACTTCATGAACAGACTGTGCTCATGCTTGAGTTTTGTTTATTGCTTTGTCGTTGTTTTTTTTTATTTTTTTTTATTTTAAAGATTACTTTTGTTTCTTCAGGATGTGGTGGGGTCATACATGCTGACTCAGGCACCATCAAGTCCCCTAATTATCCTCAGAACTTCCCATCTAATGTTGAATGTTCTTGGACCATCATTGCTCATGAAGGCAATCACTTGGAGATGGGTTTTGCTAGTGACTTCCAGATACCTGACTCTAGTGGGCAGTGTCAGAACAGTTACATCAAGGTTACCATTTGAAAGACATTTCACTTATTTTAGAATGCCATATGCCTATTGTTGCTATTTGGTTTATGTTTGCTTTGCACATTGTTTTCTTTCTGATTGTTTCTTAGGTGTGGTCTGGTGACAAAGAGCAGAATGATGCTCTGTTGTCCACTGGCTGTGGCTCCACAGCTCCTTCTTCCATCATTGCTCCTTTTAACGTCATCACTGCCCGCTTCCAGTCTTCTGAGGCAGTTGGCAAAGGCTTCTCAGCCTCTTACTTTACACGTGTGTACCATAAGGCTTTTTTAGAGTACACTGAGCTTGCTCTATTTTTTGCCATTTGCATCCCTTGTGCTTGTGCTGTAATCATACTTCTGGTCTCTTTACTTTTTCAGGCTGTGGTGCAAACTTCTCTGCTCCTGCTGGTCGTGTGGTATCCCCTAACTACCCGGATGAGTACCCCCACAATTCCAACTGTGACTACCTCATCGATTCTGGAGACCAGACTGTGATCCTCATCACGTTTACAACTTTCCAGATAGAGGGTAAACATTCTTTTAAAAAGTCACAAATATAGATGCTAGATACGTGATTTAGGATTAGCCCAGTTTCATACAACAGCTGTAGATAGCAGCTCGTCAGCCAAAAAATGTCTACAGAGACAAACCCTTGAAACATATTTGTCTTTGCTGTTTTAGCTCATTCAACATGCAATTATGATGGAGTAAAGATCTACAAGGGCTCTTCTGCAAGCGAAAATCTTATTGCCACTCTTTGTGGCGACACTATCCCAGGCCCCTTCTCCACTTTTGGTCCCATGCTTCTCAATTTCTACTCTGACTCCATTATCAGTGACAGCGGCTTCCTTGCCGAATATACAGCTATCCGTGAGTATTATGTTGCAAAATCTATTTACCTGTTTTGTCCACCAGTGTTCCAGTGTTGTCTGGAATAAGTAAGGAAGGTAATAATAATTTATCCTTTGGAGTGAAGCTGACCAATAAAATATTAAGCTGTTTTTCAGTATTGTTAGCTCCAATTTTCTATTAGGTGATCTAGCCTCCTGCACAGTGGGCTATGTGGGCTCAGTAGACAGTGGGTACTCATGCTTACTGTAGCTTTGGCAGTGTCCCTCAGTGTGAGTCTGGATTGTTTACCAATGGGAGGAATGTCAGAGCCATCCATTGATCCCAAAAATGTGGAATGAATGGAATGGAGGGACTCTGCGCTTTTCGAACAATTAGAGGGGATTTGTGACAGGGCTCCAAATGCCAGGAATATGCATATATGCAGAGGGATTCTGCAACAGATTCCTCTGTGCTCAGACACACGCACACACACACACACACACACACAAATCATTAATTCTGAATGGCAGGGCAGTTCATGCTGAACAATAGGCCCAGTAAATTGAAGGCTGTCTGAACTCTGACCCGTATGCTGGTCAGACATTGTGACTTATGTCATGCAGGAAATATACACCCCCCCCCTTCTTTGCCAGAGGAAACAAACATTCTAATGAATCATTTAATGATGGATTTCTGGAAAATGGGTTTCTATATGAGATTCCATGGTGGGGCATAATGTGAATCAGGGTCTATGAACAAGTTACCAGGCAAACAGGTTTGTGGCATCACCCAGACGTACAATACAATGCCTCATTGCTGCTGATCATCTATATTTCTTCAAATATATAGTTGTAGTATAGTTTTGTGTGTGTACTCATGCAACTGTTTTGTTTACAGCATGTGGAGGGGTGTTTAATGGCACCTCAGGGTCAGTTAGCAGTCCTACTCATTCCATCGTCAACTACCACCACAATATAAACTGCACCTACCACATCGTTGTGCGAGACAATCGTATCATCGACCTTAAGTGAGTCTAAGTCTTTTACCTTAATTAATCTGTGGCTATAAGTTGTTTGCAGTTCTCATATTGGTATACACGCAAAACACTGGATGAGCCATGCTCAGTCTTAAGCAGCAGTTGGGGGAGGATGTGAATGCAAACTGTTATAACCATTTTTCCAGACTTTCCATATCACATATCAAGACATCCTACAGGCTTTGAATTAAAAATCTGAAGTCTTGATACTCCAACAGTGCAGTAAGTTATTTTAGTGCAATATGTCATTTACCATATTAGTTTAACACAAGACTTTTAGCTGACTCTCATTTTGCTTCCATCCACTCTGTTCCATCCTCCATCTTGTGTTCCTGCAGTGAGACACCCTGCTGTACAGTGAAAAATACATGCTGGGATTCTCCATCTGTTTCCCTTGCAGGTGCTAGACCCTTTGTGTAACCACTTCAGAGAGACATTATGCATTGTGCCTGTGTCTTAGAGGAAGCGCTTCCTTTTCAGTTTCACATCTATTAAAAAATGTTCCATTTAGTTACCAGATATACATGATGACGGCGACTTTGCAGACAATTGTGTATTACTCATTATTAATACAAATTTGCTTCATGCTCTCTTAGATTCAACAGTTTTCACCTTGAAGCCTCTTCAACCTGCGCCTTTGATTATGTGGCTGTATACGATGGACCAAACACCCTGGCTCCACTCCTAGGACGGTTCTGTGGCACTGTTCTCCCCCAAAACCTTAGGTCTTCAAGCAATGAGATGTTTATCGTGTTCAGAACCGATGCATCAGTGGATGGTGAAGGCTGGAGGGCAACATACAGAGAAGCTTTAGGTATATTGTCTGTTCTTGCAAAAGCTTCTCTGTCACTCTGCAAACCAAATAAGTCACATTGAATACACTGAACTTTTTTAGTCAGCTATCATTATCATCATTATATTATTACATTGTTATACATATGTTACACAGAGAATTGTGGGTCTTTTAGGGACCTTGTGTCAATCCTAATTAGCAGTTCCCTAATCTGTCCTGCGATAGAAGAGGAATGCAGACATATTTGCTGAGTGAGTCATCTGAGGCATTACAAAGGGGCTTGAGATTAGAAGGGCAGAATAGGGGTGTTCAGAGGGCACTAGCCTGCTGCTTCAAAACAGCTTTTGTTCCTCAAACTGCCAGTTTCTTTAAGATGATCAGAACACAATGAGAAAATGTAGACTTTAAGAACTGGCCTGGATGGCACTCTTTTAGTTTGTCTTTGTGAGTAAGAGAAAACAAGCTGCCTGTGCCCTCTGTCTCTATTCTCCAGGGCCAGATACATCCAGCGTAGCCCTTTGATTACAATTGAGCACATCCACACTAGTATGTCTTGAGCATTGCCTCAAAATATTGAAAAAATAAGGCCCAACTGTCTTCAGGCTTCTCTTGTCAAAGGGCAACAATAAAAGGGCAAAGTTGTTATTGTATGCTTCTCCTCTTTGTTTGACATTTGTAGCTTAACATTCATGTCATTTAATTTTTTCTGTATATACATAAAGCTTATTACAAGAACCCAGTTATGCATTCATTATACTTGTATGTGAAAAAATAGTCAGTCACAAACTTAGATTAGCAATTGCATGAGAAAGCTCTATGCGGATGCCTGTTTTTTTCCTGTTCAGCTACTTTTACATATAATATGAGTCTCCTTTTTCCTTCTTTGACTGAGATTCCTTCACATTTCCCATGGTTCAGGAATTTCACTCCTTTAGGAATTGCTGATTATAGCACCGAGTGGAATGAGTGAGATTTGGAGCAGAACAGATATACTGTAACATGAGGGAACCATTGGAAATTCTGTAAATTCTTGCAGAACAATTTTGATTATTGCCACATAACTGATTTTGTATTACTAAAAATCCTAAATGAGTTTAATGTGCTGCATGTGCCTCATTTGGCATACTTGAAGTGATAAATGTTTGGAGATGGATTGGTGGACAGTTACTGCCATCTGCTGTTTATTCACAGAATCTCAGCACAATAGGAAACCTTAATAATTCTCTTCCATTGTGTCTCCTTTACTCTCTCAGGACCTCAGCAGGGTTGTGGAGGCTACCTCACATCCTCCACAGGGATGTTTGGTTCTCCTGACATTGACTTTAATGGAAAGTACGAGCATTACATGGACTGTTTATGGACCATTGCTGTTTCAACCGATAAAGCTGTTAACCTCACGTTTGCCACCTTTGATCTCGAAGCTGCCTCTGGCTCAGAGTGTCGATATGATTATGTCAAGGTTAGGACAAAACTGTCTTAATAATTGCATCATATACAAAACCCACCTTTAAAGAAATATGTACAATATGCAGAAACTTTCTTACTGTAAGGATATCATCATCTTCGTTGATTCTTTGCTTTCTTTAGATCTTTGATGGTGACAGTGAGAATTACCCGTTGGTTGGAACATTCTGTGGAGACACGATACCTGCCCCTTTTGTGTCAGCTAGTCACTTTCTGACAGTGCACTTTGTCACAGATGGATCAGTGGCTTTCAGTGGCTTTAATGCTACCTACAGTGCAGTCGACAGTAAGACAGCTTTCTACTCTGCATGATTTTTCTCACAGCAAGTTTTGAACAAATGTTAAATGTACATTGAATACTTTGACAAGTAATTAAAAATAGTGAACATTGCATGACTTTGTAACACAGTGCATAAAATTATAGAGGTAAGCTATGACTCTATCAGGTTACGTTCATGATTTTAACAAATTAATGGATCAGGTTACGCTCATAGGACGGACACATTGCTAACAGTAGATTTCTGCATCTGCCCAGGACTGTGTGGAGGAATGCATAATGCCACCTCCACGCCTCAGACCATCACTTCTCCGTTTTACCCTGACCCATACCCTGCCTTCACCTCCTGCCGCTGGGTCCTGGATGCTCCTGCACAGGAGGCTGTGAAAGTGGTGGTCCAGCACTTCCAGCTACAACCCAGCCAGAGCTGCTCCAGTAACTACTTGGAGATGAAGGACTGGCCTGTGGTAAAACATACTGTGTATTTTTTAGCCCCTCAAACCTTGTTAACGGAAGACTTCAGATTAGTGCTGCACAAAATATCATTACTTATTCATTGCAGTATTGGCCTCTAGCCATCACTCTATGTTTTATGGTGTGCCATAAGCTTCCTAAGCAATCACAGATATTTTTTGGGTGCTTGGATAACATAATCCAACAAACATAAATACTTTGTGTTAAAAAGAAAGCAGGCCAATCCTTCAGTAGGTCAGATCAGGGCTTCACTTTTGTATTTTCGGCATATTGAAAAGTATACTGCAATCACAATATGTAGCAACATCATCGCAATATGCCTTTTCACCCATATTGTGTAGCCCTAACCAGAATATTAAACTATAATCTTAGCCCCACCTTTAAACTATATCTATATATTCAAATTGCAAAATTTATTACAAAACCATAAAAAAATCACAATATACTTTTCCCCCAATATTGTTTAGCTCTTCCTCAGATTTGTCATACTTGCATTTTGGAGTTAGGAACAATAGGAGCAGCAGGGCTTTTGCTTGACCCATTAATTTGGTGTGCTTTAGGGAGACTATGGGCAGGCACATAAGTTCTGTGGCTCGGACTCCCACATCCCTGACTTCTACAGCTATGATCGTACCATGCACCTCACCTTCCACTCTGACACCTTTATGACTGGCAATGGCTTCAGTCTGACCTATCAGGTGGCAGGTATGTCACCAGTGTTGGTTTCTCAGTGGAAATAATATTTATTAATTAATACTTACTTATTTTGTTTGTCTGAATGATTGTGTGTTTATTTGTGAATGTAATTTATAGGATGTAGCAGGGAGTATGAGCAGGCTTATGGTTACCTGAAGAGTCCTGGCTGGCCTGCAGTTTATCCCCATGAAGTGGATTGCATCATTATCCTCCGTGCACCTCAGAACAGCTCCATCTCCCTGTTCTTTGACAGTTTTGACGTGGAATCTCACCCCTCCTGCAACTTTGACTTCCTGGAGGTAAGGCTAAAACAGCCTCATGAACATGTTTTAAAAATGATCTTGTGTCTGATGATAATAATTTATTTCAAGTTGTGTGGCAATACTATATAGAACACCTTCAAAGGAGCTGAACTCAATTTAAAGGACTGTACTATGTTATGGTTGTCGGCCAGGGAATATGTTGTAGCAGTTCTGTTGTCCAGTTTTGTCATTGGTTTCTTTCTGTGTGTTAGATAAGGAACGGCAGCACGGCTTCAGCTCCACTCCTGGGGAAATACTGTGGGACCACACTGCCCAGTCCCATCTTTCCCAGATCCAATGAACTCTACCTACACTTCCAGAGTGACTTCTCTGCTGCCCGCAATGGCTTTGAGATCACCTGGACCTCCTCTCCACACGGTGAGTAAATATTGAAAAACCGATCGCCATATCCAATAAATGACCAAAAATAACATTTAGATATTTTTCCCTTCCCTGAAACATATTTGATCAACCAAGACATGTTTGTTGTCCAAAGTTTGCTTCTTTAATTTTGCACTGGAGCTATGAGGCTAATGTAAGTAAAACTGCATGCCTAAATCATCACAGCCTTAAACCACAGGGCCTTAAACCACATTGAATTGTTAAGTAATCTCAAGTAGACTTTTTTTTGTTTATGGGGGCTTATCCGTGATAAAAGCTATAGGCTATAGACTATAGACAAATGTACAGATAACATTCATGTTTTAGCTATGCAGTGTTATTTGGTCAATTTCAATAGGGGTAAAAAGAAAAAAAAACTGCAAATTTGAACCATGTGGCTTGAATTTTTACTTCCTATTTTTTTTTCTCTTCAGGTTGTGGTGGTAGGTTGTATGGAGATCATGGCTCCTTTACCAGTCCAGACTTCCCTGGTACCTATGCCAATGGCACTCACTGTGAGTGGGATATTAGGGCCCCCAGTGGAAGAGTGGTGACAGTCACATTCAACCAGATCAGCATTGATGACCCCGGAGACTGCCAGAACAACTATCTGAAACTCTATGATGGACCAGATGCCAGCTCACTTCCTGTTGGGCCATACTGTGGAGCGGTATGGAACAGTTTGTTAAAGAATGAAGAATTTCTTAGCCCATAAATGTGAAACAATTTGTTAAAGAACAAATAATTCCTTAAGCCTTACCTGCACACCTGACATCTTGTTAATTTTTTCAGATAAATAGTAAACAAAATATGTAACTGTTTTGAGAGTTTTACACTATCTTTGCTGTTTGTAGATCAATTTAAGTTAGCTATAAATACTGGGTTGCTTACTATGATGTATGTATGACTAGTTGGCAAAAGATCCATGCATTTAAAGTTTAAAAAATATTAGCCGATAGTTGCTTTTGGTCTTTCAGACGTACAATATACTAAGATTATAATGGCTTTCTATTTTTTCCTGCCCTGTAGGAGACAAATATAGCCCCATTCAGAGCCTCGTCACATCATGTCTTCATTGTGTTCCACGCCCAGTCTGTTGTGTTGCCATCTGGATTCAGGCTCACATGGAGCAGCTGAAGAGAAATCCACACAACATCCACATATATACACTTAGATATAAGTTTACAAACATTAAAACAATCATTTAAACAATATCATGGAGTGCAGTATTCACCAACTAATTTAATATAAATAGTTTGATTTCTTTGTTTGATCATCTCATATATTTGTAGATTTGTTCAAAGAATTATGAAATATGGTATATTTTTTTCTGAAAATAAAAAAGTTGTTTACTGTACTGCTGCAGTGACTGTATCTAAGTTGTATAAAAATAGCTCTTGGTGTAGGACCCACAGCCTCTCTGTGTCAGTTAAAAGGGTACGTTCTTTTTGTGCTGTAAATGGCTTTGCTCTTAGATTTTTGCATTGATACTGTGTCTGGTTTCAAAAAGATATGCTTAGTGATGCATTTGCTGTTAGTTAAGTATGAGTAGACACAAAAATAAGACAACAGTCCAAACATAGGCATTCCTCATCTGACATTAAATGGAGAAAAAGTAGGAGAATAAGTGCAGTAAATATTGTTTTGCATGTCACATTTGCATTTTCCTCCCAAAAAATGGGGTGAGCACTCAGTGCATGCCAAAGCTCTTGTCAGAGTGGTTAATGTTCTGAGTTACTGGACTGGCTAATTTAGGCCTCACTAACTGAAATCCTCTGTATGGTCGGCTCTTCTCCTCGGACATGTGTCAGCTTAGCCAACACCCCTGACAGCTTGGCCGTCGACCCATCACACTCTACCCATCAATGAATGAGGGAGCGAAAGAAGGAAAGAAAGGGATGGAAAAAAGGAGAGAGATAAATGCTGTCAAATCCAGATGAATACAGACAGGACTATAATGCCCGAGACAGCTACGGAGGCAGCGTAAAGCCATATTATACTGCTAGTACACAGTCAATAACATTCACACTTCAAAGGAGCAGAAACATGCAGAGCACTAATTTGTGATTTCCAATCTTTGCACAAACCATGTTTCAACCTTCACACAAAACTAGAATTAATCTGATGAGGTGCGAGGAGTGGTTTTGGACTTAGGGTCCATGACAACATTTAAAATATTTTTACAAGCTACAAAGCTGTGAGCCATACCATCCAAAGGGGCACTGTGGGTTAGATATGGCCAGGGTTTCAGAAGCAGCTTTAGAAAATGGTTAGTGTTTTTATATCAACTTGGTGAGGTCAAAGTTCCTGAGAACTTCTCAGCTGTAACAGAGTGTTTGAAATTCAAGTTAATGAGCATGGGAACAAGGAGGAAAAGTGCATGTAGCACTGACTTCACATTCTAAGTGCATGTTGCATTCCTTAAAAATATACACTACCATTCAAAAGTTTTAAATCACTTGTCATATTAAAAATACAGTGTAGATTGAAATGTAAATTATACCAAATCACAAACCGACAGATTATTCATCATTAAAATATTTTGAGAAAAACAACAAATAATGACATAGAAAATTAAAAAATAGTAATAATAATAAATAATAAACTGTAATTATCCATTTATAGTATTGTCTTGACATAAAATAACTGTGAGTAGTATTTTGATTGGCGAGAAGGTCAAATATGAGGATTATGGATCTCAATTTTATTAGAAGTTCATTCTTGATGCTCTGCAGCTTTCTTGGTTATTATTGAATCATCATCTACAGAGCCTTTCATCAAAAGTTTCTTTGTTTTTCACAGCTTCCAAGTAATTGTGTAAAACCTTTAGAATATGATCATGTATCTACAATAAAATAGCTTTTATATTAATGAAAACTTTGAGCATAATCTAAAAAGCACACTTTCCAGCATCTATCACTGTCTCTTGGAATTTAAAAGCAACTTCATTTTTAATAGCTTAGAGGTAAGATTTTAAAATATGTAGCTACTGATCCTCTTCCACTGTTTCTCAAAAAGTACATCACCTGAATGTAGCTATCTTATAAAGTCATGATCAGGAACAGTGGGCAGGCATGAGGTCTGCATGACCACATTTATTCCACACATGTGCTAATAAGAACTACAAACTGATGAAAACATAGTATAAACTGACACTGTTATCATTTTTTGAATGGCTACTATTTTTTTTAAATGACTGACTGAGCGGTTAAAGATTTTACAGTGCAAACATTCAATGACACTTCAAATCTCTCTCAGTAAAGCAAAGTTCACCCATGCTGTAGGCATCTGTTGTCACTTTACCACTCACTAAATATAATCAGGCCTAAAAATAGAGGCCACTGTTTTTCATTCCCCCCCTTGTAATGATCAACCCTATGAGAGGAACACAGAGGGACAGACAGAAAGAGAGGGAGGGAAGTAAAGCCCAGTGATCCAACGCTGATGCACTTTCAGCCAGGAGGGAGCTCTTTCCAAGAGAGGAGAGGCGTCTTGGTTTACCTCTGCTCCATGTCAGGGTGCTTCACGTTAAAGGAGGAGACAGAGGAGGCTCAGGTTGCCGCAGGCCCCCTTGTGCAGATATTGGGACGCTGGCCAAAGAATGTGTCTCCCACGTAAGGTAAGCTTAAACTGACACGCATTAACTAGTTGAGATAGTGCTAAACAACAGCTGTGTAAAGCCACCTGCTTAGGAATACCTGTACTGTAAATATGCTTAATCAAGCTTTTATGATGAGAATTGAACATAAACATACATTATATATAATACACATACACTATATATCTAAAAGTTTGCAGACACCTGCTGATCCAACATATCTTCTGAAATCAAAGGTTTTATAGGATGTTTGTCCCCTTTTGCTGCCTCTGCTTTTCTGGGAATGCTTTGTACTAGATGTTGGAACATTGCTGTGAGGATTTGATTGTATTCAGCCACAAGAGCATTAGTGAGGTCAGGACTTATGTTGGATTACTTCTGCATCAGAAACGCCACTCCAACTCATCCCAAAGGTATTGGATGGAGCTTCATCACTCCAGAGAACAGTTTCACTGCTCCACAGCCAAAGCTGGGGGGTTTATGCCTTTCTAGCTGAAGCCTTGGCATTGGACATGGTGACCTTAGGCTCACGTGTGTCAGCCCCAGAGTGTCCCATTCTATTGGCCGTGAAAATTAAACACCCGTGTCAGTAACGAGTGTGTTTTAGAGTAGCATATTTCACTAATTAGAAGAAATGTCTGGATCCTTTCAGATATATAATGCATGGGTAGGTTCTGCATTTTGATTCTAAAAGAACACTAAAGGCATTAAGGAAATAACATAAATTGTCAAGGCTGATATTTTTTCATTACTGTTATCATCATCATTAATATTGTCATTATCATTATTATTATTATTATTATTGTTATTATTTTTGTTGTTGTTTTGTTGTTGTATTATCACATAATAATTATAACAATAACAACAATAATAATAATAATGAACAAATATCAGCCTTAACAATATAATAATAATACATAAACGCACCTGTGATACTTGTGAAGTAACATGTAAAGCATAAACTACACTAGACTGCAGACGGAGTGGCGCTGTAATCCACACTGCACTACTTTACTGCGGAGCTCATTACTGTTACAACTTCCTTTAAGGCTATTGGTGGAAATAAAAGCACACAACGAATCATGAAGTCGTGTTTTGATTGGATGGTTTTGTTTACCCGCTCCTTTTTCCCTGTCGTTGATTGGTGAAAGATGTTTATCCGTCCCAGAAAACCCCTCTCCGGTCTGCTTGTAGGAAGCAGCCTTTTATGGAGAGTGGAGAATTTCTATCAACTTCCGGTTGGGTGTGAAGCGGAGCAGTCGCTCTTAGAAACAGCGAGCAGTTGTGCCTGAGGCCACATATATTTTATAAAGACATTTTTGCACGTTCATTTCACACATCAAGGTAAATAACTGGCGATTTTTATCAGTTTGGTTATTGTTAGCCTACTTAGCTTGTTAGCGTAGTTAGCTGTAGCTGTATCAGGCATGCTAGCTAACTAACTTCTCCACAGTTGTTACTACGCTGTAAGTTACTAGCAGCGGCTTCGACACACTAGGTGTCTGTTTTCGCCTTGGCTCTTGACTTCGTTCTGCTCTTGTAGAAAATGTCCAAATCTCTGAAGAAGATAGTGGAGGAGAGCAGGGATAAAAATCTCCCCGAAGTGGATATGTGCGACAGGGGGATATCCAACATGCTCGACATTCCTGGTTTGTGTGAGTATCTCACCTCAGATGTTCTCAAATTCTTGTCAGCTTAAAAGTTTTTTGACGTCTTTATGTAAGGGTTTTAACTGTGGGTTATAACAGTTTACTACACGTATAGTGTATTTTCATACTCTTAAATGATTTCTCACCGTTTCACAGTAACGTTATTCTTTGATGAAACTTTTCCGATAGCCTAAGTTACACCGACTACTTCACTGGGTGATTTGTAAAGCTCGCTTTGTATATCCAGCACAGTAACATTTTTTTTAGCATCGGCCTTACAGTTTAACAGCTATGTACGCAAGCACAGTAGCTATATGGCCAGAAATCAATCTCACCATCGCCTGTTATTTTTTCTTGTCTTGTAGTCACCTTGTCCAACATAACTCAGCTGGTCTTGAGTCACAACAAGCTCGCAAGTAAGTAGTTACTGTATTTCCCTGTCTATTCGACAAGCTCTTGCATGGGAGTATGTAGGTGATGTTAGACTTGATGTTAGTGATCTTTGATGCCAAGTTTAAAGTCAGATACTATTTTTATTTATAATTGAGAAGTTTGTGGGGACTCGAGAAAGTACTTAAGTAGACACTACTTTTTCCAAATCATGCTTTATGTGATTGTATAGAAATGCAAGTGAAGTCCTGTATATGTCGCCTTTAGGCCCTCCTTGAAAGGGTTAGCAAAAGATGGCATAAAGATTTACACCACTAGAGAGCAGCATTGGCCAAAGAGCAGTGAAGTCAGAAGTGTCAATGCATTAAAAGGTGCCTGTAAAAACATACAAGAGAATCTCAGTGTTAATACTTAATATACAGTTGTACCATCTAAAGGAATTCTAAATATGTGACAAGGTGTATCAACATATATCTACAAAAATGTAATCAAAAATGTAACTGTAGCTTTTAAGCTGTTTTCTGCAATTTTAGCAATTAATTATCCATGGATATTCACTTCAAAGGGTTATACGTGATCATGGTTTTGTCTGTCAACAGCAGCATTAAATACGCTGACTACCTTTCCTCAGCTAGACATTTTTTTCTCTTTCACCATTAAGCTGAAAGCTGCATATTTGGTTTCATGTTTACAGTAAACGATTGAGCAGGATTTGTTTGTTTGCACTGAAATCATGGTAATCTCCATGAAGATCTCAAAATTTGATATCGCTCTTGTTTGTCAGGTGTTATTTTTAGTGATGATCAAAGCTGCTTAATTAGATTAAGTTCATCCGTGTCTCTTCACCTGGAGGAGAGATTCATGACTTCAGATCTGTTTGTAGGTTATGATGCTCCGTCAATGATAATGGCAAGTAATGTAGCACTTCAAGCCTCACTCTTTATGTGTATATAGGCAAATGTATTTGTTACATATTGACTTATTTAATATTTGGCTTCTCTATATATTGTAGATATACCATCCTTTCAAGTTCAACTTTATTACCCCCTTTTTCTTAGTATACCCTTGCGCTTATCATCACACTGCTTATTTCCATGGTTGAATCCTCCCATCTCACAGGCTGTCTGCATAAAGTGCAGAGATGTAAAGTGTGCCATCTTTTTGAACTTTTCAAGGTAGTCAGGAATTACAGTGACATTTGGAACCCTTTCATTAGTGAGGCCGCTGAGTAAAGTGCCCGTGCCGGTAGGAATGAGAGACACTACTAGCGCCAAGGTAATGAGAGAGCGAGAGAGAAAGAGTAGGGGCAAAGGTTTGAAACCTTTCTCCACCGTCCAATCTTTACATCGCGCTCACTTATTACTATCAATCACCCTTACTATTAAAGAGCATTGTGCTTTTGCAGAGAAGTGGCTAGGGCATTTGACTTGCTCAGCTCACATACTCATTCACATACTCATTCACATACGTGTGCTTTCACTCTCACATTCATATGAGCACATGCATGTTTGTATATTTCACTAGAGTGTGTGATGCTTACTTGTTACGGTATATGATCATTTATATACAGTAGAAAATGAGTGCTGTGGCTTCTGATGTACTGCTTGTATCCAAATACTGATTATTGTCTTTCACCACGCTGTACAACACTGATATCGATTTACATTCTTTAAAGTCGGTTCACCTACCTTGAGCTGGTGAAGCGTAGATTGTGAAGTAAAGATGGCATCTGAAAAAATTATATTTGTTTACTGTATTGCACAAACTTTGCGTTCAGCATGCTACATCATGGCACAGTATGAGACAGTAGCCAAGAACATGAGATCTAGACCCTCAGAAGTATTGATAAACACTGTGTGTCGGTTTGCTGGTTCATAACAGAACCCTGAAATGTCCCTGTGATACTGTATCAGTATGCCTTGGGCGCGCTTGGTGTAGCTGATCTCTCTAAAGTCATTCACGTCATGGTGTTTGTGTAAACCCACACCCACCTTTATAATGAAGGCCAATCGATCGGCCGGTAATCAGATAGGTGCCCCGTTATCCTCATTGATCTTTGTCTAAGGAGCGCAGGCGGGCTGACCGTCCAAAAGGGGAGGAAGGGAAAGAACTGTTATGCTAAACGCCTCCATCATTAAAATGTCAAATCTATTGCTGGGCGAGTGACCTGTAATTGAGTCATCAAAGACAGAGTGCCCATGCCCTGGCTCTAATAATTAGCTAGTTAAACCCTGCTATGTCACCAGCAAGCCCTCAGTCCTGTCCCTCGATGCTGTTTGAACTCTGGCTAGGACTAACTTGTATTTGTGTTTTTGAATTCTTTGAATTAAATAAAAATTGTAATATTAACATCTTAATGACAATTAACATTTGAGAAGCTCTGTTTTTATGCTTTTTTGCTCTCTCTCTCTGTTTTTCTTGTTTGTTAGCTGTGCCTCCAAACATTGCTGACCTTAAGAATTTAGAGGTGCTGAACATGTTTAATAACCAAATAGAGGAGCTGCCCACTCAGATCAGCAGCCTTCAGAAGCTCAAACACCTGAATCTAGGGTAAGCATTTTGCCATATTTTCCCTTCCATTGTTACTGTTATTGTTTATTTTTTTTACCATAATCATTCAGCTGATCAGACTGTAAACAAAACCTTTGTAACCTCATGTTACTTCACTTAATTATATAGTTATGAGGAATAGCGCACCATGCAGGGTTTCTTTCATTAAATAAAAAACGAAGTAAAATAAAAGTAAAATTGTAGAGATTATCTTCTCATTTGGCTTGAAGTATGGTAAAATACTGATGTAATCAGTGACAAATTTCCTTATTATTTAGTACCAAATAGAAGCATAAGCAAAATGAAATGTCTGTTAATTAGTCAGTCCCACAACAAATTCTCATCTTGGTTTATCACATTGTTTTCACATCACTGATTGTGACTTAAAGCATAAGCACAAGGACTGAAACATTACTGTTAAAATTGTTCAGATAATTACATATTTTTCATTGTGGTCATAATATAATAATAACTGCATGGTTTTAATGCAGTTACAGAATAAAAAGAACTAGAATCTGTGCACTCACAAAAGTGTTGAAGGTAAGGGGTTAAATAAAAAACAAAGTGAAATCCTTTTTCCTAGAATTTGCAGGTATGTTAACAAAAAATTATGAATTATGAATACTGCTCATGCTCTTTCTACCTGTGTTTGGGCACTCTTTATTTGAAGTCTTGTTGGGTGGTGGTGCTGATGTTCTGTTGTAAACTGTTCTATTGTAAACTGGCCCATCTTATTAATGTCATTTAGGAAGATTGATGGCTAGGTGCAGACCTTACAAAATTACTAGGATCGGTCACAAATACTCTAGGTTATGTAAATAAAATAAAAGTAAATGTCAGCATTATTTAAATATATAATACTAAAAGTAATAATAAATAAAATAATTGCTGAAATGTTGTAGTAATTTCCATGTCACACATTCTTTATGTGTGCCTGGCTACACTGTGAATCTATCAGCATATTACAAAAAAAAGACAGCAGTCACAGTATATGTGAGCTGAAATTAGCTTGAAGTTACTGTTAATTTGAAAAATCTTGTCTCAAAGGTAGTCAGTGTGGACCTATGTTAATTTGGCTAAATCTGTAGCCTTTAACTACAAACATGTAGCCAGGTACGCAAGAGTTATGTACCAGGTTGACTTTCCACTGTTTTCTGCTTAATGTTATAGTACAGTGGGATTAAATGTCAGATTTGAGCTGTAGTTAAGGGATCACAAACACTGGTGCACCCTTCTACTTGCTTTCTCATTCTCATAACAGTTCACATCACACTGCCTCAAAGCAAAATGCACATTTACCAGCACCTAAATCCTGAGGGGCCCTCTTTAAGCCCTAAGGTTTGTGAAGAGAAGGAGGCCTCCTCAATGTCACGCGGGATTAAAGAGGACCACAATCTCCCCCTGCATCTGACATCCCACATTTTTATTGATTTGCTGTCAGACGCGTCATTTCCAGGCATAATCTTGAAAACATAAGCCGTGCCGCCGTATTCGGGGCAGTGAGTCCCGCCGTGAGTGCGTGTGTTCGCCTCCCTACTCGATCTCATTTGTCAAAACAATTCCCCACCTCTTGTAATTGCTTCACAAACACACAGCGGAATCAGTTTGTTTGTATCTGTTAAATCCGCTGCAAAACTGTGTATGTCTTTTGCGAGGGTGTGCTGTCACTGTGTTGTGAGGGAAAGGTGGGTAATGAAATTGGGGAGGACATATAGACTTAGAGAAGAGAGGCTTAAGTGGCCAGAGTTAATCAGCCTTTGATCTCAGTCTCTCTCTGTATCGCGCACACACATATGCTCTTCAGTTCTCTTTAGCTCATTGTCAGGCACCTTCAGCTCTTTGCAGACCAGTACTCATTTACTGAAAAGTCTCAGCGTAGCATCTAAGAGCAAGATGTCCGCCATCAAATTCCCATCCATTAAATGGTGAAAACTAAATGTTCCTGTCCATTAAATAGATAAGATAGGGTGTGGCTGTATAAGGCCAAATTAAAGGGAAAAATTACAGTTAAATTATTTTTTCACAGCCTTAAAAAATATATTTTTTGTTTCACCTGCAACCAGCTGTTTAATTGTAGGCTTTTTGTGTTCCAATATAAAACTAACCAAGGAGTACATATATTTGACTGTGTTAAACTCAGAGACCACCCTTCATTTATAAACTGCTTGTATAAGAAGGGGGAATCAAAAGAAACTCGACTTGAAAAATAGAGAAATTAAGACTCCTAAAAACTGTTCATGACCTGGTAGACCACCAAAACAATCAGATTAACAAAACTTAAGCTCTACTCTTGCTTCCGATCTTAATCCACAGGTGTTTCTGCCCATCCTTCCACTGTGAGAAGACAACGCTAAGAAAATTGACAAAAAAGAAGAAAATGTGCAAATCAAACTAAAAAGCTGCTCATATTCTCAGAACAATGGACTGGCTGCCCCAGAGTCCAGACCTCAATATCGTTTAATGTGTTTGAGAAATAAATGAAGACTTTTGCCTGGCTTTTTCACAGTGCTATACAAAACCGACAACTTTTCAGTTATGTAGGTAGACTTCTATGTTTGAAATTTTACTGAATTTAGATGTTACTTTTTTGTTATTGACAGCCATAGTGCTTCTACTTGTAGCATCAGTCTTAATCAGGGGATATCGATCTTTATTGTTCAGCTCTGCCTGTCTGTGACTGTGTAACCATTGTGTATACATCTGTGTTGAGAGTGAGTTTGTAATGTGTGTGTGTGTGTGTGTGTGTGTGTGTGTGTGTGTGTGTGTGTGTGTGTTTAGAATGAACAGGTTGAGTACACTGCCCAGAGGGTTTGGTTCTCTCCCAGCACTGGAGGTCCTGGATCTCACTTACAACAATCTGAATGAATCCTCACTGCCAGGGAACTTCTTCTACCTTAGTGAGTCTGTCTGTCTGTCTGTCTGTCTGTCTGTCTGTTCCTTGCTCTAATATAAGACAGACATCTACTATTACTTTGCAGTGCTCTCTTCTCTAATGCTATTCAAACAGAATAGCAGTTAACTGACTAAACTTCATCATCATCATCGTCATCATCATTGCAATCAACCCTTCCCCATTAGAGGCCTAGTGATGATCATTGACCGTCTCTAGTGCGCTGTAGTCCGTTAATGGGCTGTTATTTTAATACTGATGACATGATGAAAGCACGTACTGAACTGTAATCAGTCCTTTATTCCCCTCCTCCCTGTTTTGCATACACCCTCCCTGCTCTATTTATCACTGCTGACGACCAGTCTCTGATATTACCTCTGATTCCATAAGCAAATTAAAATGTATCTGATTAATGAATGAGGTTCAGGTGATTAAGGACAATCAGAGAGTGCAGAGCGCAGTGGAGGATGAGGAGGAGGGAGAGGAAGAGTGGTGGGCTTGCTTCTAAGAACTCTCTCAAATAGAACTATGTTTGTAAAGCTTAAGGCTTAATCAGAAAACTGGGATGAACTGGATGCCCTATAACATTTCTTTAGTATTGCTATTATTTTTATTTATTCATGTATTTATTTATTATTAATTAATTAATTAATAGATTTTGCCTGGCTGCATGTGCCAGTTTCTTTGACTGTATGAATATGTTGTCCTGTGTGTTTATGCTAAACTTTGCACTATACTTGTGTAATATTCAATCATGTTCTACTTTGTGTCTGTGTGTCGATGGGTCCTGAGACAGACACAATCTGGACATGGAGTATTAATCAACTCTGACCATCTCTATTGATCAGGCAGCGCTACACTCAGGCCTGCAGCACCCAGGCCTGCCTTACACTCCCCCCCTCTCTCATTTCAGCCACCCTGCGTGCACTCTATCTCAGTGACAACGACTTTGAGATCCTGCCCCCAGACATCGGCAAGCTGGCCAAGCTGCAGATAGTGAGTAATTTATCTAAATTCGCCCTGAAATCAATCCCCTTTTTCACTTGGCTGTTGGTTGGATTTATTTTTTTTTACAGTGCGTGCTGTCCTTTATCACAAGCTTTTGAGAAGTGATTTAGGGCTGTATGTGTTGTCTCTGAGGTTCTGAGGGCCCACAGTTATCTCAATGGAGATGTAATGGGTGATAAAGCAGGCTTGTGAGTTGTCTTACTGAAGGAATTTTTTACACCTGCTTTCAGTTTTTCACAATTACCTAAGCACACACCTCAAATGAAAATAATTTTTTAAAAATATTTTAATCTAAAATAGAAGTACAATTAAGTACAGTCAATTGGCCTAGTGACGCATTGACATCAACATAGATCACATTGCATTTCTGCTAATTTTTGTTACTCTCATGTACATTTATCAGTTGATCACATTTCGATGACGTCACAGTCACGCTGCCACTATTTTGGCAGGCAACTTCAGGTTCATTCAGCAGTGCTGTAGCGGTTTGTAATGAGCTAAAGCCATAACCAATCCAGGAAAGGCAGTAAAACACTTTAACTATGATTTTTAAAGCGCATTAACCAATATATTTGAGTGTGTTGACTTGATTTTATTTGATTTGTTGCTGTAGTGATAGCAAATGAAAGGTAAAATTCCCCGCTGGGTTATTATTTTCGTGTCCCAAACCGCATACTAGCACACTAAATAGTATGCAAAAAATGACAGTGTAGTGCACTCATTAGTGTAGTAGGTGAAGTACAGAAGTGTGTGCTTTGGGATACAGCGTTAGATTAATGGCTGTAACTGTGCTGTGCTGCTAGTTAGCTGTTCAGTAAACACCTCCAAGTGAAAGTTTAAGGTATTTGTTGATTAAGGATGCGTTTATTGAGGTAAGTTGATGCACTTATTAAGGTAAGCTGCTGTTGGCTTCATATTTGCTAACTTGTAAAATATAATACATAAACATATATATATATATATATATATATATACACACACATTATATGTATATTATATGTGTGTGTGTGTGTGTGTGTGTGAATGAATGAATTTATTATTTAAGAGCTTTGGCAGTTTTGGTAGCTACTTTTATTAGTTTTTATAAAATATCACGCACTAGAATGTTCTGAACTCTGGTGAAATGCAGGTTAAATGGATCCAGTCCACCAATCTAGCTAATCTTCTCCTCATAACATTTTCTGGAGACTGCATCTAAGGCTTCTACATATATTTTTATCTTTTTCGTGGTCATTCTGGTCTATTTTGTAACTGCAGTAACAGTGATGATACGAGGTCTGTCAGAGCACAGTCTGAGTTACAGCTTGCCTACCAACTTGCAGACATTGTCTTCTTAATGACATAATTGAATGCTGTGAGTATGTTCATTGTGTAAATGTTTGCATGCAAAATGGACCAGCCAATAGTCAAACATAAATTTTGCATAAATTCCATTGATCCTGTGGTATTGTAATGCCAAATTACAGGTTGATCGTGAGATGCCATAACTCTAACAAGTTCATTTTCTCACATTTTAGAGCAACCAGTTGTACATGCTGTCAAATCTATCCTACTTTTACTTTCATTAATCTTATTTCTGAGAATGACAGAGGTCCGAACAAGAATGAATAACCAAATTATGTAGTAGTTTGGGACAATATTAGTTTTCACTTTATTAATTTTGCCCATGGTTTTTGAGTTTTTCCATCAGTTTTGATGGAGTTTCGCTAATTCTCATTCTTTCCTTGAAACATGTTAGGAATGGCTTCAGACGTTTTCCCACTTTTATACCAAGGCATATATCAAGTTTAAAATGGATGAAATCCTGTGGCCAGACAGATATAAGTGATTGTATAGGTGGTTCAGAGGTGGAAAAGGTGTTTGTAACGTCCACATTGGTTCCTAATTTTGCAGAACCTTTCTTTTTTGTTTGTTTGTTTTTTTACTTTTTACTTTTTTCTGTTTTACTTTACTCTAATATAATGCAAAGGTTTATAATGGTTTATAATGCAAAGACAAGTTTGTACAAAAATATTATTGTGTTTGTGTAGCATTAGATTTGATAGTGATTCTGTCGTCATCATTTGGCTAGAAACAAAATTGCACATTGTGTGTGTAGTGGTTAAATGCCTCAATGAGAAACAAGGTAAAGAAACCCTTCCAGGACAGCCTGTCATATTGACAAGATTTTTAGTGTTTTGACAGTCTTGGTTTAAGTAATGGTAAAGGTTCATTTCTTTTTAGTGATATTGTATTCTTTGATGTTTTAGAAAATGTGTAAAGTAACTGAGAAAAACTGAAAATGATAGAACTGGAACAATGTATTGTTCACTATACTAGTGATTTTCTCTCATTATGTGTACACAACTATAACTGTAAATGTGTAAGAACATTTAGTTATATGCTTCTTAAGGTTAACAAAAATGTACATTTGTACATTTTAGCAAAAGAGATAACAACAACAACAACAACAACAACAATAATAATAATAATAATAATAGCAATAATTTATAATTCTGCATTTTCATATGGCCTTCCTGACCTATGTATCTCTCTCTGTACAGCTGAGTCTGAGGGATAACGACCTGATCTCCTTGCCTAAAGAGATAGGAGATCTGACCCAACTAAAGGAGCTGCATATCCAGGGCAACAGACTCACTGTCCTGCCTCCTGAACTTGGTGAGATTTGAAAGTTTGTGCCTGCATTTGTGTGCATGTTTGATCAGAATTATTTCTTTGACTTCAGACTTCACCATATTTTATGTAAAGTGTGAAATAGATTATTCAGTATCCTTATCAGTATACAATATGGTTTATTGAGTAGTAAAATAATCTCACAACTAGGGGTGCACTGATATGAGAATTTTGGGCTGATGCAGATATTCAGTATTTTTCATGTGAATATCTGAAACATTTATAAACATTTATAAAATGTAGAAACTGGGATTTATCTTAATTAGCTTTATAGAAAAATATAATACTTAATTGTAAAGGTTTACAAAAGCAGTAAACTTTAAATAAAAAAGGCAGACATATTTGCGTAATAGTACACTGCCCCCTAAACGTACAGCTCTTTCAGGGTAAAGTATGTCATCAAATATATCAAATATGTCATCAGATATATCAAATATCTCCCCAGTGCTTTTTTAAGTAATCATTTGCTGATACTGATATAAAATCTGATATAATCATGCATCCCTGCTGAGGACACCTTCAGAATAAGCACAAAGTGTGGTTCTGTAAGCTAATTCATTCTTTTATATTAACTATAAACATAAAATATAAATAAATATAAACATAAAATCTGAACTCAGTAAGCCCTGTTCCTCCTTCTAAGACAAGTTCAAGCTGTCAATCATTAGTAATAGAATGACACCATGATGTAGGTATGCTATTGTAATACTTGAGTTTGGTTAGCAGTATAAGATGACCTGTCAGTCTTTAGTAAGCAGACACTGTGCTGTGTGTATACAGTCAGGTTTGTGTGCATGCTTGCTTGTTAAAGTAAGTGACTGTTATTTACTTGATGCTGTAAATAACAGCCATGCTGGGGGCTGTGATGAGCTTTGACTCAATGGGACAACAGCTCTTACTGTGGAGTCTCAAAGGCTATGTCAAACTCTCTGTTCGCTCTTCATTATCCTCTCTCTCTCTCTCTCTCTCTCTCTCTCTCTCTCTCTCTTTCTGTACGTCTCTCTTTTTCTCTGGGCCTGCTCTGTTTGCAAAACAATTTGTAGGTGTGCTTGGTGTGTGAGACGTGTACACACCCACAAAAAAAATGCAACAACATGGTTAGCACGCAAGTGTGAAAACACCAGTCAGTAGGCACTTAGTCCATCATGCTGCTGGTAGAGAGACCCACTGTGGTCTCCCAGGCTGTGCTGTGGTTGGTTGGCGGATCATTGGGGAGTGAGCCACACCCTGCTGACCCAGTGGAGGGTGAGACAGCAGACATCACCTGCTCCTCTGTCTTCCCTCTCTCTCTTCTCTCCACACTGAATGCATCACCGAGCCCCATATGGGTCAGCACAGGTCAAAATGCTCTCTGCCTGAGTGCCTCACCACACACAAAACACATACACAGACACACACACACACACAAGCACTGGCTTCCCCTTTTCAGCAAACAATAGGCTCAAAGACATTTCTTGCTTATTCTAACTTGATAATTACCATTTATTCTGTGCTGTGGGTTTATATAAGCAGTACTTCTTTCATTCATCTCAAGAGCCATATTATTGTGTCCTCAAATTGGAATGGAGCCCGGTCAGGCTATTCTGAGTGTAGGCTGACACACACATACACACCCACTACCCTGTGCCTGCTCTTCTCTCCTGTCACATACACACAGAGCCTGCCTGAGGAGGCGATAATTGGCTTTAAACAGCCAACGTCGCCCACACCACGTCTCTTATGAACTGCTTTATAGAATTATTGACTAGTGTGGCCTAGTCAGAGTCTAGCAAATTCCACTTAAATTGTTTTCTGTTGTAGTTCGTCAATCTCTGGTATTGTTGTAATAATGTTTGTGAGACTTACTGACACACTTCTTGTAGGTAGAGCCATTTTGTTGTTCAGTGGATTGACCCTGTAGGGTTAGGAAAATGGAGCCTTCCATAGTTTTACTTCTAAAGGCTTCTGTAAACCTGTAGATGGAAAGATGCAAAGATGAATATATAGATGGCATTAACAATATGTCATATGATAAAGCAGAAACCAACATATTAAAGCATATAAAAACTAGGGATTCACAACTATGGCCCAGTGAACAATGCATACAAGCATTCTCACATTTAGGACTTTTCCATTGTATTTCAGAGAAATTACCTCCTATTTTTTGTCATCTCTTGGCATCTTCTGTCAAACTGTGAGCAGAGGAGGTGGACTGTGTCCTGAACAATTTTCCCCACTTTTTTAATTTAAATACATTCCCTAAACAAACATTTAAGCTTTGTATAAGTTTTCCATATTCACTATTGTCATATCATTTTCCCTTGCTCTTACACAGAGGTGTAAATTTGATCTGATAAGTGGAAGGGGACAGATATCAAGAGGCTATCACCTATATACAATGCTGGCACCACCTAAAAGTTTGGTACATGTCGTACATAAAACTAGGTAAACAAAATATATTGAGTTACTGTATTCTCTTGACATCTAATGCTTTAAATGTCAGTATTAAAACACAAAACCAAAAAATGTTACAGTTAAAACACAAAACCAAAAAATGTTACAGTAATTACTTCTGTGGATGCTTTTTAGTGTAGATAGATAATAGCCCTGTAGTGTTGATACAAAAAAGAGCTAGTTTAGTCATTTCAAAATTATGTAAGGGCATCGTAAGTGTAGGAAGGGCATTTTCCCTCTGCCCATCCCTGGTTTGCGATCCTGGCTGTACTGTTAAAATTATCTTTGTATGCTAGATCCATGGTGTCTTGGCTGACCACAAAATCATACAAGTTCTTAGGAATTATTTAGGAATATTCGAACATCTTTCTGATCTTTAGATTGCCATGTTTAAATTGTTGAATTATAAGCCTCGTCACCCCATCAAAGTAATAGAGAAATGCAATAGATAAGTGATGTGAGCTGGGTGGTAGCCTCAGTCTGGCTGGTGCCATGTCCTCTCTAGTGCCCCCTGCAGGGAAGGCTTTGCCTAAGGAGCTTATTAGGACCCTCCCGTTATGTCTCCTTAATCCTGTTCCTCATAGCCCAGCCTCGTTAGAGCTGCCACAGGACTCTGTGTGTGTGTGTGTGTGTGTGTGTGTGTGTGTGTGTGTGTGTGTGTGTGTATGTGTGCATGTGTGTATGGGTATGTGTGTACTTGAAAGAAGGGAAGCGAAGAGGAGAGCCCAGCTAACAAGGAGCAGCCAAGCGCACAGAGGAGGGCAAGGGAGAAGAGGAGTACTACATGGAGAGGAGGAAGCTCAGAAGGGAGTGAGAGAGAGAGAGAGAGAGAGAGAGAGAGAGAGAGAGAGAGAGAGAGAGAAAGAAAGACAGTGCAGGCGCATTATGACACCAGACGGCATTTAGAGTGATTCTTCTTTACTGTTCTTCTGTAAGGAGGACAAAATGGATGAGACACTTCCTAAGTAATGGTAACAGCGGACACAAAGGACCTTCAGAGTTACCATGTGTCATGTTTACCTTTTCTGAGGTTTACTGCGAACAGTTTAACTTGAGGTAGAATTGATCATTAACGGAAGACACTCTCACAGGTGCGAGAGAAGTTTCATCCTAGCATGAGTCCTATCTCTTAGCTCTGTAAAGCAGGACTTTAGCAGGACTGGTAACACCAGTAGAGCTGAATGTGAGGCAACAGATTAACAGCTAAATTACACTAATGGTGCTGTCTGGCTGGTTTTGTGAGGCATGACATTGTATGCCAGGGCCCAGGTTTAATTTAGTGCTCCTCTGACAGCTTTTTCAACACTTTCTAATCAGAAACAATTTAATTAGGCCCCTTGTGTGCTACGATGTGCCACATTAGCACTGTGACCTGTACTGTTACGTTGTCAAAATTTTCACTCCCTTTCTCTCCCCTCCTTTTGTCTTCACATTTTCCTACCCCCACTAACCTTTCCCCCCTGCTCCCTTACTGCTCCTTTTCTCTATCTCCTGTAAATCACTTAATCTCTTCTTTTTCATTCGCTCTTTTTTCCGTTTGCCTCTGACTTTCTCTTTCTCCATCTCTCCCCTATGTTTCCTCTGTTGCCTGGGACAGATCTTTACTTGGTGACCTTTCTCATTTAAGGTTCTGGAATAGGCTCAAGTATTTGTGCTTGTAAATAAATAGGAATAACTTTCTTTTCATACATTATTTAGGAACAGTGTTTTGTTGGTTATCTTACATTTAATCATCTCTCAGAGGTTAAATCATCACTGTTATTCGATGGACTGATTCATACCTTAGAGATTTTGTTTTACTTCAAAGTATAATTTCAGTACAGCTGCCATTCAACCAGTAAAACAGCAGTAACATTGTTTGGTGATCTCCCTTATTTTTCAGTTATGCTTTACTGTCTTTTATTTCCCTGTGAAGCGCTATTTAAGCTTATGTTTTTCTCTCTTTTTTTTTCTGTTTAGGTAATCTGGACCTCACTGGCCCAAAGCAGGTGTTTAAGGCAGAGAATAACCCCTGGGTGACTCCCATCGCAGATCAGTTCCAGCTGGGTGTGTCCCATGTTTTTGAATATGTTCGCTCCGAGACCTATAAGTAGTAAGTCTTCTCACCGTCATCTTTTCTCTTTTAAACTGTAAGTACTCAGTTATAACTGTAAATACTGAGATACAAATGAAACAAAGAAGGAGAGGTTATATCTACAATGTATTTGACCTTTTGAAATGGGTCCCTGAGCTGGAATACTATTGGAGCCACAGATGTGCGGCCTGTTTGTGTCGCAGCAGCAAAGCAGGGGGCCAATAAAATGTGTGGAGTTGAATCTTTAGACACTGAAGTGTATGTAGCCTCAGTATCGGGACCAGAAGAATCACATTTTTCCAAATGCTACTCGGGTGGCGTTTCCAGACCGCAAGGATTGTTGGCTGGCATAGCACACAGCCTGTGGGCCATATGGTTCAGTTTGTGACCCTGCCTCTGTTTGTTCCTCAGTGACAGCCTCAATGTCTGTGAGCTCTGTGATGGCAGAATGATGGATTGAGTAATACAACTCTAGCTGGTAAAACATGGCAGTACCTGCAAAACCCTCAATGTAATCTGATTAGATAAAACACATTCACCATACCTCTAACGCTTCTTCCAACATGCCTCTCTCTTCTTATCATGCCTTTTAACTAAGAGACATCTTGCTGATGAAATATCTGCCTTTTATTGAATATTCAGTATAAATATAGAAATCTTATACAGGCCAGTTTTATTTTTGCACATATTTTTTTTTCTGGAACAAGCCCAAGGTTGGCTCAGTGAAAGTAGATGAGCAGTTGTTTGCATTTAAAGGCTTGTCGATTTACCACAGGACCAAACCAATTAAACTGAAAGCTGGAGGCATTCTTCTTTTATAAGTGGCAGAGGAAATCTCTCATCTCTCAGTGATCTCTCTATCAATGACAAGCTTTTATTCTCTGGCTATTTAATAATATATACCAAACTTGCCAGGTGTGGACTTGAAGGGAAAAACAATACTGACATAATACAAACATTTTTATTGATTCAGGTTCAGTTGTCTCGGAAAACCTAACCCTAAAAACATCTGTAATTGAGCAAATGTTTCGGTTAATTTTTGCTTGTTTTTCTCCCAGTGATAATCCCACATCCATAAGATTATAAGTACCTCCCTGGCCATGTGACAGCACCTGCAAATTAGGACTATGGAATTTGGTGTGACTCTGCAAAGCAAAATGCTTTCTCACATGTGGGTAGCAGGTCATGTAGAAACGCACTTCTGTCCAAAAGAAAACTGCCAACTGTGTTTTTGGGCACCCTGTACTATGGACAACAGGTAACATGTTTGGAACTGTTAGGCAGTGTTTTCAGTGATTGCATCCTTTGGTGTCAACAATAACATTGGGCTGTTGCTTGGAACAACAGCAGTATTCTTTTGTCCTGAAAAAAACTTTCTGAACTAATTGTAGCATATCGTTGACAATCCTTCACAACTCCTCAATCCCCCCACAACAAGAGAGGCAAATCCCTCTGTTTGATCATTTAGCTGCCTGCTGAGCTTGAGTCCTTGGAGACCCACAACCCACTTACTGGAACTGATCTCCCTCCAAGGCACGAACATGCCTGCCTTACCACTGTGGCAGAAGCTCAGTCTAACCATGTGCAAATCTTGACATATTCTTTCAACTGTTTTTTGTTGGTTTGTTTGTTTTTAAGAACAGGCTACATATGTAGTTTTCTGCAGTGTTCAATATGCACATTGCTTCCTGTGGATTGTTGGATGTGACATTAAAGTGGGCATTACTGCCTTCAGATAAAAAAAAAAAAATATGCCCATTTTATTGATTATATCCACATGGGTAAGTTGAAGGTTTTATGACTGATTGCTGAGCCATCAGTGACTATTGGGGACAAGTGACAAGTGGGACAACAGTGACAAATGGGAATTGCTGTATGTAGTGAGTGCTGTCTACAGTTATGATCAATTCCAAAGTAGGCTGTCATCAAAAGTGCAGAATGCTAAATATGCTAATTTCCTCAGTCAGATATCTCTGATATAAAACTCATTGCTCATTATACACTTATCCATTTGTGCTGTTTTAACAACTTGGTTCTCAGTTTTGCATTTTAGTGCTGCTTATACAAGGCATATAGGATATTATATACTGCATGAAAATGACTGAAGAAGTTTAGAAGTTTGTTTGGTACGGCTGCAGATCTGGCCTTGTATAATGGAATTATCTTCACTTCTTTAGGCTGGGAGATTTGGGGATTGTGCTGAAAAAGGCTAAATTTTATTTTTTGTTAAATAAGCTTTTCCCAAGAACATTTACCACTAATAAGAGAAATATCAGTGTCACCGGCATCATTAAGGTGACTCAGGCAATAAATAATGTGTTAAAGAGAAGATGTGGGTGTTTAAATGGTCATGGATGTTTAAAAAGGAACCCGACGTTCAAAGCATATGGTAGCCATTGTTTGGATACATCAAACACTTAAGGCTCAGTGGATTGTGCTAACTAAATCACACTGCTTACCTTTCGTGTTATAAGGCCAAAGAGAGAAGGTCAGGAAATGTCTGGGTTCTCAGAGCCAGTCCTGGCTGTTCAGTTCTGCTCTGCTTAACTCTCTGCTATTGTAGTTCGGTGTTCATCTGGTTATCTGATTCTCATAACATTGGTGCTGCAGGGAGCTTATTTCTGTGCTGACAGAGCCAAGAGGCTGAGGCTAAGAAGTGTGTGTCTGTGCGAGAGAGAAAGAGAGAGAGAGAGACAGTGTAAGTGAGTAAGTATGTGCAGGGCGGTGAATCCCGTTAGACAAGCGTTAACAGGGTGCGAAGTGTGGACTCTCGATATGTCCATGGCTCAACAGTTTCATTTACACCTGCCTAAATGTCCTTCACCTGAGACAGCTTTGGGCCCTCACCTTCCCTAAGCCTGTTTTCTTTCTCTCTCTCTTGCTCTTATTCTCAGTCCTTCTCTGCTCTCTTTCAATTACATAAATCTACATGGTTTCTGCAAACTACAAGGGTATAGCTGTTTTGGATATTTTTAGTCATTATGCTGTTTTTCTGTCACATACTGGTTTCTCGTGCCAGTACTACTGCTACTACTACTACTATACTAATACAACTACTACTACTACTACTACTAATAACAAACCCAATGATGCTTCACAATAACAAAACACACCACATACACACATGCATATTGTTCCCCAGCTGGCAGGTCTGGGAAAATTCTGTAGCAGCAGAATATTCTCTCCCTCGGCATGTCTGGGAAAATTCCTTAGCCACGGGGGAAAGTCTCTTTGACGGCAAGCCCAGAAAACTCCTTAGCAGTGGTGTGAAGTCTCTCAGCCAGCAGGCCCAGGAAGACTCTTTAGGAGCAAGACAAAACAAAATAATGTGAATCGGCAACCAAAATATGTGCCCATTGGAAGTGACTCACATTTTAAGAGATTTCGTAAAATGTGGTGAATTCCTTGTAGTAGGAAAGAAAATTCCAGAATAAAACCTAGTGCAGCCGTTTGTTACCCCTTGTTAAATAACTTTATCTATTCAGAATTGCGTAGTAAAACTGTATATTAAAAGAAAAATAAAACAGAAATGCAGTTAAATCTGCAAAGCCAAGAGAGCAATATTTTTTTCCCTAGCTAGCAGTTCTCATGAGATATAATGATCTGGTAAGAAGGAGCTGTTGCACTGTATGATATTGTTAGTCAGACCCTGCAGAGTTTTCGTATGGAGATGTGCCTTTGAACTTACTCACTGGTGACCCACGAGAGAACACATGCTTGTAGAACATGCTCACTTGTCCGTTTAGGAGTTAAAATGAATGAAAACATGCTTCACTAAATCCTCTCCTCCTCTCCCCCTCTTCTCTTTTCCTCTGTTGAGAAGGGTTTGGGAGTCTCATGGTAAAAAGGAGTGTGTTTGGGGAGGGGTGGGGGGCACCTGCATGCATATTTCATGAAGTGGCTTGTTAACCTGACAGAGGGATCTTTTGGCTGACTGACGGTGTGAGAGAGCAACTGCATGCTCATAATGCATTAACATATCGTAAAGCCTGCCTCGCCGCCATCTTTTATTCATCCTCTCCTCTAAACGCTTGTTGATAGCGAGCAGCAGAGGCAGGCGCTGCGCAGAGAACTCGTCACAGCTGTCTGGGACTGACTGAGAAAAAAAAACTGCAATTAAGATCGCCCTGCTCTTTACATTCTTTCTCACTTTCACTCACTCATATTCCTCTCATTCACTTGCTCACTCCAGGATTCTTTCACTCATTTACTCACACAGTCATACTCATTCTTATTTATTCTCTCACACACACTCACACTAGGGGTGTTACAGTATACATATTTATGTTTTCGGATTCAGTGAGATTTTATGGTGTGAAAATCTGTGATTTCAGACATATTGGCATACGCTACTGCTCAAAAGTTTGGAATCATTATTCAATAATATAAAACCAATTTTAATAAATGTACTATGATTATTTTGTGCAACTTCAACAGTTTTAGATAATTAGAGGGAAGCTAGAAGAAAAAAGTAAAAAATTCAAAAGTTTTCAGAATGAAGAACAGAGCTGTACAGTTTAAGGTATGATACTAAAATGATTTATAAACATCAAGAATGAAATTGTAATCAGTAAATTAATATTTAGAAATTGTTATATTTAAAGTGGTGATTAAATCTTGAGGTAAATAACCTGACAGAAGCAATAATCACAGTACATTATTTAATGTAACGATAACTGCTTCTTGTTCCCAGCTTGAGATATTAAGCCATTCTGAAAAAAAATATCCTTTGTTATCTAGTTTATGATAAGTAAATCTATATTGTACACATTACTTTTGTATAAAAAAGACAGATTATTAAAATGACAAATAATTTCAAACTTTAAACTGCTAATGAACATTTGAACGGATTCCATGAATGTTCTGTGTGATTGTCTTATGACAAAATTATTTGCCTTTTACCAGTTGCTGCAGTCTTGTTTTGACAGTTGGATTTGACTAAAATTAAGCAAAATGAATGAATGTTTTATTTTCTTTTTTACATATGCATCAAAAATGTATCTTATCATGGTGCAAAA